TCTTATAAATGAACAAGAATAAAGATACAACATATTAAAATCCCTGAGAGAATATGAAAGCGGTTCTACGAGGAATATTTAGAGCACTGAATTCATAGTTAAAAATTAGAACCAAGTAAATAAGCTTATGCTCTACTTCAAGGCCTTAGAAAAAGAACAAATTAACCCCCAAACCAGTAGAAGAACAGGAAATAATTAAGATCAGAGACAAAAATGAATGCAACTGAGCATGAGAAAACAATACCCAAAGATCAATGCAAGGAAGAGTTGGTTCTTTCAAAAGATAAGATTGAAAAACCCTTAGCCAAACACAAAACAAGGGAGGGGGGGTGGGTAATAATAGGAATCCATTGGATTAGACAAAGGGAAATGAAAGGAAGAGAAGGGGGAGAGGAAATAGGAAAGACAGTAGAATTAATTGGACACAACTCTTCTGGCCATGCATTTGAATACACAACCAGAGTAATTCGGCATCATGTACAACCACAAGAGTGGGATTCAAAACAGAATAAGTTATTCTCTATGTACATATAATTTGTCAAAACACATTCTACTGTCATATATAACTAAGAACAACAGTAACAACAACAACAACAAAACCCTTAGGCCAACTAACCAAAAGAGTAAGAAGATACAAATCAATGAGATCAGATATTAAAAAAAGACAAAAATTAAGTAATGAAATTGAAACGGCAATTAAAAGCCTTCCAAAAAAGAAAAACCCAGACCTGCTGGATTCTCAGCTGAGTTCTACCAAACCATTACAGAAAAACAACAATCTTTCTCAAATTATTCCAGGAAACTGAAAGAAAACATTCCTAAACATATTTTATAAAGCTGGTATAACCCTGATACCAAAACCAGATAAAAACACATGAAGGGAAGAAAACTACTGACCAATATCTCTAATGAACACAGATGTAAAAATCCTTAATAAAATATTAGCAAACTACATTCAAAAATATCAAAAAGATAATATAACATGAACATTCCAGGAATGCAAGGTTGGTTCAACATATGCAATCAATAAATGTAATTCATCACTTAAACAGAATTAAGGACAAAAAGCACAAATAGACACAGATAAGGCCTTTGATAAAATCCCACTGCCAATCACCATAAAAAATGAAGCTAAATCAAAACAAACAAAAAAAATTAAACACTCTTTCAGGAGAAAAAGCAGTCAATGCAAGTTTGCCCCCTTAAAGAATTGATGCATTCTATTCATAAGTATGCTTAATTACAAAATGGGAGGATAATTCCATGACACTATTAATACAAAGCCCACATAACTATTCTTTCTACTAATGTACAAAAGGAAATATAAGCATAGAAATAACTGAAGAGCAATAAATCAGAATAGTAAGAATTATTGTTTTCTAGCTATAACAATTATAAGCTACTATACAGCTTTCTTCTTAATATATTGATTCTGCATTTTTTCAAAATTTGTATATTTTAGAAAGTCACTCTCATTGATACTCTGTAATTCCAAAATTTTAAGTTTTAATTTAAAACAAACCTAGGTTTACATATTTAGTTAAAAGCTAAGTATCTAAATTTATTCTTTTAATTTTAACAGACATATTAAATCAAAAGCAAATTTCATGGGAAAAAGAAGTGCTAATAGTTTGTCAGGTGATTATAAAAACTAACCAAAATGCATTTATTTAGTTTAATTGGAAAAATATAATAAAAAGCAGGTATAGAATCTGAAAATTCTCTACTAAGAGTAGATTATACAAGAAAAATGGTTATCCCTGTCCCTACATTTGTGATATCAATCACACAGAAGACCACATACTTTCCTAAACATTCTTTTCCTGGTTGTTGGTTCTAAGATTAAACTCAGGAGGAGCTTAACCAGTGAGCCACATCTCCAGCCAATTTTTGGTTGTTGTTTTTGTTTTTTTCTGAAACAAGGTCTAAGTTGTTCAGGCTTACTTTGAACTTGTGATCCTTCTGCCTGAGCCTCCCAAGTTGCTGCTGGGATTACAGGTGTGTGCCATGATGTCTATCCTTAGCCATTTTTATATGATTATATATCTTAAAATTTTTTCCAACTAGTTGTCACAACAGAAATAAAATAAATTAAGTTTAAAACATATATACACACACATACATGTATGTTTATGTAATATATATGTGATTAGAGAAAAAAGGAAAAAAAATATCCGTTTTTTAACATGTATTTGACCAATTATGTACAAAGCAATGTGTTATGTGTCAAATATACAATGGCAGAAGGAGATAAGGCCCCTGCCTTTCAAGAGTTATATTCCAGCTGTACTCCAAAAATAATCAATAATCAAACTATAAAATCAATACTTAATAACTAGTCCAGAGAGTCAAGGAAGTTCCCCTGCATCAATGATATTCTAAAGTGACAAACGTAATTATGAAGGGGAAATAAAAGAAAAAGAAAAAAATTCATTTTCTTTACTTCTGACTTTAAGGTTTTACCTCAAATTCCTTTAGATAATTTTGATCACAAATCAAGAACTATGAAATTTATCTAACTCTAACCAAAGGAGTAATTCTGACATATAATAATAAAAGCAGGAATAGAAAATCTACATACTTTAAAATTTTTAATAAAGTACTTTTTTTTTGGTGGTGGTGGTATTTGGGATTGAACCCAGGGCCTCATCCATGCTAAGCATGAGCTCTACCACTGAGCCACATCTACAGCCCTAGTAAAGGCAATTTTTACCATGAGTTTAATAATCCACCAAAGACCATAAAAATAAAATGCTTATGTTTGGGCCAGGAGAGGAAAATGCTACCGATTTTAAGAGAAAAACTTATCTGTCATAATATTAAGAATTCTGTCCAATTAATACAAACAAATATAGACATTCTATATGGCAATTATATAATGAGGTTTTAAAAAGTATCAGGATGAAGAGAAAAAGAAAAAGTTCATATTCAAAGTATACAAAATGGGGCTGGGATTGTGGCTCAGTGGTGGAGTGCTCGCCTACCGCAGGCGGGACCTGGGTTCGATCCTCAGCACCACATAAAAATAAAAAATAAAGGCATTGTGTTGTGTCCATCTACATCTAAAAAAAAAAAAAAAAAAAGTATACAAAATGGAGAAACACAAAAGTCCCAAACACTTAAAAATATGTTGAATTTTTATAACTATGTGTATAAACTACATGCTAGATGATATTAATGTCCCTAAATTTCCCTGATAGTGATATAAATGAACCACATCACTTGAGACCAAGACAAGAGGAACCCAAGCTCAAAACCAGCCTGAGAAACTTGGTAAAGACCTATCTCAAAATAAAAAAATAAACAGATAAAAGGCTGCAGATGTAGCTCAGTGGTTTAGCACTTGCCTAGCATGTGCCAGGCCCTGAGTTTAAGACCCCAGTGCCTGAAAAAAAAAGCTAAAACAATAAAAAATATATATTTAAAAAGACTTTCTATTCAAACTATAAATCACAGGATTCTTAAAATATGAATGCTTCTTAACAGTTTCAAACAGTATTCCAAAAACAATTGTTTAGATTATATGGTAAAAAGTTTATACAGTAATTTTAAATATTACAAAATTATGATAATCTGCTACAAAGTCTTTGAAAGAAATGCCTTTAAAACAGATCCCAGAAATATGTGTGTTAATCTAAGTTATGTTAATGAAAACTGAAGACAAATGAATGAATACCCGATCCTACTGGCTATCAGCAGGATCTTTATGATAAACTGCCAAATGCACATACTCTGTTGGATAAAACAGGAGGCTGGTTTCCCAAACCTGTATTTTAAAACAGGTAATTATGAGGGTTTTCTTTTTTCATGTCAATCTTATATTAGCATATTGATCTCAAGGAAAACATACTTAAAATACAAGTTAGATCGCAAATCAAGAACTATGAAATCTTAAAAATTCTTTTTAGTTATAAGCAAACTTTTGCACAAAGAATTTAACAATCATCATCACTTAAAGTACTGGACTATAAGGTCACTTAACCAAGAGCTCATTATTACAAACAATGTGAAAATTTTTTTTAAATATTTATTTTTTTTAGTTATAGGTAGACACAGTATCTTTATTTTATTTTTATGTGGTGCTGAGGATCGAAACCAGTACCTCAGGCATGCCAGGCGAGCAACTCTCTCTGAGCCACAATCCTAGCCCCAACAATGTGAAAATTTGTTAGTCAAAGACCAATCTCTGTGTTCACTTCTCATGCTCACATGCATTCTGGTGAGGTGGTTAGAAGGTAAGGTTTTACTTTCTGTCATTTTAGGAGATTGTAAGACAATTAAGGTCTCAGTCTTATGTCCTCATTTCTAATTGGAAAGCTATAATTTATTTCTCAGCTTTAAATTCTGTTCTACAAAGTCATAATATTAAACCAAACAAAAATCTGTTAACTATTTTCAAAGAAAAAAAAACACAGAAATGGTTAAATGGACTCATCTCAATATCCTATGAACATACTACCTTGTAAAAGAAAGCAGCAGAAATGAAGAAAATGACTAGAAGAGGATTTAAAAATAAAAGTAATTACTATGTCAGGATTGGAATTTTATTTTTTCCTCATGTTCTAAAATTTTAATAATATTATCTTTAAAAATATTCCAAAATTGAGATTGTGAGACAAATAGGAAAAAAGGGACCCCCAAAACACTGCTCTTAATTACTCTCAAAATTGTAAAAATCAATGAGTACAGAGGTCTTATAACTTGGGATTTGTAAGGAATAAAATCCATATTCACTACAAACTATTACATAAGCTTTTCTTTAAGTTACCATAGAAAACACACTGAAAATTACAGGGAATAAACTTTGTTAGCAATCTATTTTAAAAAACGTTTTCCTAAAGGCAAATCAAATTTTAGAAAATGAAATTTTAAAAAAGATACAAATATATGCTTAACAAGTTCCCATATTTTAAAAAACTCATCTCTTCTGTATATAATCTGAAATTATTCAATTTACTCCAGGACTTACAAAAATAAAATATTATAGTACATAAACTAACCTCACATAGGGTACAGGGTCATTCTGAATCATATTAAGAAGCCACTGCAATTCTTCGTAACTCCTGTCCACTGAAAATAAAATTGAGGAAATATAGTTGTAGTTAATTAAAACAAATTAAAGTACAAGTGATAAGCAGGGAGTTTATATATATTTCATTCGTAGGATTCTGCTTTAGCTGGATTTCCATTCAAAGTTGAAGGCTACAATCAAGCTCTTATACTTTCTTAGATTTTTTTTTATGCAATTTTATATTGCATAAAATTGTATAACATTCTTAAGAAAGAAATGTTTCACAAATGTAAATTAAATTTTATTTTAGAAGCATTGTTAGACATCACTAGTTCACTTCACACATTCATCAAGTTTGAGTTATAATCTGATTTATAGCCAGGTCAGTGGAAAATTATCTTTGGGAGTTTTCTTCTTAAGAATGTTATACATTTTTACGTTTATAATTTTGTAAGTATTGTGACATACATAACCAAGACACAAAATAGTATCAACTACATATTCTTTACCAAAGTTCAAATCAATGGCAAACACACCATAAAGCCAATTATAATTTATTGAGTCCTAAATTAAAGATGATTAACTAGATAAAATCTTTGTAAACAGAATTATTTCTTAAATGCTTACAGAGAGGCTTGATACCCATTGGTATCTCAACTGTATTATAGAGAACGATCAACTTTTTGTCCACACAGTTTCTTTCACTTTGAGACCAAAGAGTAGTCTTAATTTTTCAGTACAATATAAAACACAATAAAAAAGTGCTATTAATATAACTGACATAAAATTATTCACTATTACTATTCATCTTTTCAACATGTTTCACTTTTATGATTTGAAAAGCTTTTAAATTTTATTCCCAATAGTTGTCATTTCTTTTAATTTGACAACCAACTGTTTAAACTTAAAATTTAAAAAACAGTGAAGTCTGGGGATTCATGGTTTACATTTAAGCAAATTACATTATATTTTAATCATTAGTTTAACATTCTTTTGGAAACCATAATATTAATATCTACTTCATTTCAGGTTTATAAAGACATTATACCATTCATACATCTTGGGAAACAAGTTGGGCATACCAGCAAATTTGTTGGACCTTAAGACTTCCTTTTCATAGTTGGATGAGAAGTTTAGCATACTTAAATTTCTTTACTCTTCCCATATTTTAAATAATCTTGACTTCTAGATGTAGACTACATTTATATGTTTCTTCGACTTGCATATTCTTTTAAAAGAAATGTTTTACAAATGTAAACTAAATTTTATTTTAGAGGCATTGTTAGACATCAATAGTTCACATATTCACCAAGTTTGAGTTATAATCTGATTCACAGCCAGGTCAGTGGAAAATTATCTTTGGGAGTTTTCTTCTTAAAATGTTATATAGGAGATGTACTTCTAATTCTATAAGGCTACCTTAACACATTGTCACTATTTAGATAGCAGTTTTCCCCTAAAACTTACATAGCAATTTTTCACTTGTCTTTGAATCTTCATGTTCTGAAGAATTTACAAGCCACACTATTCTTTTACCTTGTACAAAAATATGGTTCTGATATTCCTAAGAACTTTTGTCCTTAACCTGAAAAATTGAAATTTCATCAAAATATAGCTTAACCCAGTTTAATTTACACCCTTTCAGAGATTTCTATTATTATTGCTTTTCTTCCAATCCATTTCATTTTTCATGACTTCTTCCTTACGTTTTCACTACTTTTCCTCATCTGAATTTTCAAAAATGTTTTAACATATATTATTCTTTTATTCATTTTTTGGCCTTCTTTTACATCTTTTTGACTTTGTGAAAAATTGCCTAATTTCCCTACTGAAATTCCTGTTTATGTCTTCTGCTATTTTCGGATATAATTTTTTTCAAGGGTATGTTGCCTCCACTTCTTAGAAATTTCCAAAAAAATCTCCATTAAAAAAAAAAAAACACATATAATTAAATCTATAGAAAACACTGACTTCTCAAAAAAGCCATAGATACCTATAATTTTATTCTTTTCTCTCATTTATCAATTTTTATGTGAATTCTACATTTTATCAAAAATTCTTTCAAATTCAATGTCACAAATTTAAAATTAAAATATCTATATTGTAGACTTGCTTTAAAAAGTATTTCTAAAATGACATAGCGTCTATCTTTAAAACATTACCTTTAGTATAATCAACAACTGCTTCCAAAGCTGCTATCCTGATGTCTACAAAGTGACCGTATTCAGCGTAAGACTTAAAAAGAGCTGGATCACTTGGCACATGTCCATTCTTCTGAAGTACCCGTATGGCTCTCAAGCAACTATGAAAGAAATTTTCAGTTAACTACTTTCATTGAGGTATTTTGAAACAAATTTGTTTTCTAGATAGCAGAGATTCCTTTATCATAGTAAATCTAAAAAGAGATGATTTGAATCCACATTCGATTTTGTAATATTCAATTTTTTCTATGATACATTTTTTAAATAACCAGATCCTACTTAAACAAATTTCAAAATTTATGGAAATTTAAGTTTGATGTATCATTACAACAGAAGAACTGTTCAGAAAGTATTTAGCATAAAATATAATTTATATTAAGTATTTTCTCCAAAAGCTTTAATAATATAGTTTAGTCATTTTATAATGGAAAGTTATATTATAACGTTATTATATAAAAGGTTACATGTAAACTGAATATAAAAATATATAAGATAATCATGAGTAATTACAAAGTTCTGTAATTATAAAAGGGAAACATTTAGGTTATTTTTCAAATATTAAAAATTTATACGTAGATAAAAGAATCACAGAATTAAAATTTTTCCCTTTTATTTCCCAATTTATCTGATGAAAATAAATTTATTTTATACTTATAAAAATAAATATGGGACTGGGACTGGGGCTCAGTTGTAGAGTGCTTGCATCACATGTGTGAGGCACTGGGTTCGATCCTCAGAGTCACATGAAAATAAATGAATAAATAAAGATATTGTGTCCATCTACAACTAAAAAAAATATTTTAAAAACAAATAAATATGTTCAAAGAAAAAGCAAAGAAAATTTAATGCTACCTGACAGTGATAGTATGTCTATAACTTGGAAGGAGTTTTTCCATATTCAAAAACCTGGTGATTTCTTCAAGAATTAGTCGCACATCAGGATTTAAGTTATCCAGGGTTCTAACTTCATTATTCACACTAACTGCAGGTGTAACAGAGTTGGCCAGAGCATCAATCATTTCTGCACGATAATAGTTATCTGAAAACTAAGTCAAAGAATAATTAACAGAAGAAAATTCTTCTAATGAAAACTTAATATGAATTACTTAAAAACACAATTTATCTGAAGATCTAATCCAGTTCTCTAGTAAATATTCAACTCTGGCCTTTGCATAGATAGAGTCATACTTCGGAAAAAGAGTAAAAGAAATTTATTAATCAGTGACTCATTACTTTACCAAATAAATATTTACTCTGCAAAACACTCTCATAGCAATCTAGCTAGATCCTCTAAAAGGAAACCATGGTCCACGGGTGCTTCTGTAACACAAAGCTTCTAATCAGCTATTTAATGTTCTACTTTAATATATAAAAATACAACCAAGGATCACCACATATTTGAGGAAGGCTTCAACATGAAAAAGAAGCACTATGATAGGCAGGAAGCTGTGGTTCAGAAAGGAAAAAAAAAAAAATGCTGGGCAACTTTAGCAACTTAGTAAGGCTGTAAGCAACCTATTGAGGCCCTGTCTCAAAATTTAAAAAAGGGATAAGAATTGGCTCAGTGGTTAAGCACCTTTGAGTTCAATCCCTGGTACCAAAAAAGAAAATTTAAAAAAGACATAAGAAAAGAACTCAGAACAAAAAAGCAACTTGTAAGATATAGAGCATGGAAGGACCAGAAAAAAATCTTCAGTAAGGGACAAAAGAAAAATTCATGAATTATCATTAATATTATTTGAGTAATTATCAATGATATGTATTCCAACAGCATAACATTCCTTTTTTTTCAGCTTCCAAGTTGTTATTTTATCAGATTGTTTAAAGGTTAAATTTATTCTCATTTGCAATCCAAAATAGTTACTTGAAGTCTGCTGGTGTGTATGTGTGTGTGTGTGTGTGTGTGTGTCTGTTTACTTTTATCAGTTATTTGTCTTCTAAACTCTTTGGCACAATTTTCTGGGGGCGTTCAGACTGCCACAATTCAAGTCAGGAGAGCTTTTCTTTTGTGCTGCTAATTTCAAGCATTTAAATTTGGGTTGTGGCTTTTTTGTCTTTGAAGTCTGCATTCTTTTTATTTATTTATTTACATGAGCTCTATTATTATTATTGTTGTTGTTGTTTGCATTACAATTCTTAATACACCTTTATACCACAATTTATCATATCTCTGTATATAAGATATGTTGACACCAAATTCACATCTTCATACATGTATTTTGTGTAATGATGAGGGTCTCCTTCCACCATCCATGCAATTCTCCTTCTCCCTCCCTTTCCCTCCCACCTCTCTTCCCTATCTAGAGGTAATCTTCCTCCCATGCTCTTCCTCCCTATCCCATTTTGAGTCACCCCCTTATAGCAGAGAAATGGATGGCATTAGAGCAGATTATGCTAAGTGTAGTTAGCCAATCCCAAAAAAACAAATGCTGAATGTCTTCTCTAAAGTCTGCATTCTTTATCTGTAACAATAGTACTTTTATTTTTTTTATATCCTCTAACTCCAGAGTTTTATTTTTCTCCCCCTTCACTCCTACTTCTATATTCACAGTTGAACCATATTATTAGGAAAGGCACCCTGATGAAAAGATCAAGATTAGGAGCTCTGACCATTTGTCAGTGTTTTCCCTAAAATAATTAAAAAAAAAAAAAAAAACCCAAAAAACAAAAAAACCTAAAGAGCATCTTTCCTTTTTTCCCCCTCTTTTTTACATGTCTTGTGCAGCATCAGTAGACAGAACTTCGGTTCATTTTATGAAATGCAACATCTAACCCCTTGTTTTCTGGGAAAAAGAAACTGCAATAAATTTAAGTTGATAATATAAACACCACCTCACTTCACACATATTCATTCTCAGACTGTAATAATCCTTCACTCTCCTTCTAGCCTGCACGTGTACAATACCATGTGGCAAAGGTACAGCCACAGGTGGGCTTGAGAACCAGGCTTATTCCAATAACATTACTTTTAAAGAAAGAAATATGCATAGAAAAGCACCAAACATTAAATTGTGCCCAAATTCAGAAATCCTGCCAGTATGAAGATAACTACGGGCTGGGGTTGTGATTCAGTGATAGAGCACTTAGCATGTGTGAGGAGGCACTGGGTTCAATTCTTAGCACCACATATAAATAAATGAATAAAATAAAGGTCCATCAACAACAACAACAAAAAAATATATATATAAAAATTTTTTAAAAAGGAGTGTTATATGTACATACACATTCATATACATACTTTCTGACTTACACACATATACACCTTCTTAAACACACTTATCTTCTGAGTCAGTAAGCATCCACAAATAATTTTAATGTATAGTCAGAATAGCCACTAGCAATAGAAAATAAACTTGACTTTCTTTCCAGTTTCATTAACTCTGATAATTCTATGCTTCAGCTTTGCTAAGGAACTGTGTATGAAGTAAAATAATAGGAGAAGTAGTGCTATGTTGGGCAAGTACTCTACCACTGACTATACTCTCAGTTCTTCTGTTTTTTTTTTTTAAAGAAATGTAACCATGCTTGTTTTTTATTTTTTAAATTAAATCTAAGCTTGATTTTTCAAAAATGATGCTGATGTACAGTGTTCATTTATCAACTACTTAGTAAATTCTTGGTACCATAATAAGTGCTTTTCTTACTGTCTTATTTTTTATAACATTATTTCATGGCTATTTTAATATAACATTCATAAAGGAAAAAAACTTCAATGAAACCTAACAAGAAAAAAAAATGGGCTTAACTAAATATAAAAAACAATTTGGAAGTCAAATCCACAAAGATTAAAACAGTAATTTAAAAAAATCATGGTAATTATGTTTCTATGGGCATATTGAGTGCTTTCCCAAGTAGGCCACACAGTTTAGACTGGTAGGTAGAAAAACTTTCTTCAAATTAAGAACTTTGAAAGGAAATAATGAGAAATATAGCCAGTTAAATTCCATTAGATTAAATTTCCCTGGGAACTAGTTACCCAGCTATGTACTGACTGAAATAAAACATCAGATGAAATTAAAGATTTCACCCAGTGTTTTATTCCAATTTAGTGTTAAGTTAGATGAAAATCTTAGACACTTAAATGAAACAATAATGCAAGAAAAATAAGCAAATGCTTGTTACAATGGGTCTGACAACACAAGCTACTCATTTAAAAAAGCCAGACCCATGAGAAAGGTAACTAAAAGTTATCCTTGGAATTCTATGACCCTAATGTCCCTTTTCTGGGTGACACTGATGATCACCTCATCCCAGCGATAAAGTCAAAAAGTATTCAAAAATAGCAAGAAAAATGAAACCTATTGAAATGTATTCTTTTAAAACACTTAAGTTTTAAGGAGACTTTTAAAATTTGTTCTTTATAGATATACACAATAATAGAGTATATTTTGACATATTATACATACATAGAATAAGTATAACTTTTTCCAATTAGGATCTCATTATTGATTGGTTGTGTATTTATATATAAGAATAAGAAAATTATGACTAATTCATTCTATTGTCTTAAGAACACTTTTAAAATATTATTTAAAAAGGCAAAATTTGTCTTCTTAATTTTCATAAAAAGTCATCTTCTTTTAACTAGAAATCATTATGTTAAGTGAAATAGCCAAACTCAGAAGATCAAGAGTATATGTTCTCTCTCATATGTGGAAGCTAGAAAGGAAAAAGGAAAAGAAAGAGGGAGGGTGGATCTTATGAAAATTAAAAGGACATAAGTAGAGGAAAGGGACCAGTGGGTGGGAGGTAGGAAGATAGCAAAGAAGGAATGGGGAGTGATACTAGCCAAATTATATTGTTACATTGTACGCATGTATGAATATGTAACAATAAATCCCATCATTATGTATAACCATAATGCACCAATAAAAATGTGGAAAAAAATAATCTTTTAATAGTGCTGACTTCATTTTTTTACTGTTACAGCATTTTATTAAACTTCATAATTTTGTTCTACCAGTCACATGTGTCTTTGTATGTGATGTTCCTTCAATCCGAAATGACCTTCCTAAATTAGCCCTATTCATAAACAGGGAAAGTCCTATTCATCTTTATGATTCAGTTTGAAGCTCACTACTTCTCTACAAAACTTCCCTACGTATTTGGAAGCTGGCACTACTTCCTGAGATGCCCCAAGAAATTATGTATACTTCCATCATGGTAGTTATCCTGAATGACTTGTGTTTACTTATCTGATTACCTACTAGATTTAGTCCTTGAGGGCCCCAAATCAGACCATGATTATGTAAGAGTTGTTCAATAAATGTTTAATGAATAAATGAAGTTCCAGAAGATGTCAACTGTGTCTTCTATTTAAAATTGTACATTGCCTATTATAACATATATTCACAAAAATGCTTGATTATTAGACTGATAACCAGTAAGATGAAAAAACCTTTGAAGGATAATATCTAATAACAATTGCTAAGTAAATGAATACAAACATAAAATGATTTAAAAAAACAAGACAACATCAAATTAACCAATGAACAAGTTAATCCCAAGCTTCCAAGCGGTAACTGCTTATAAAAGGTATCATTTTATTTATTTTTATTAAAAGAGTAAAAATAATATTGTGCTGCCAGACTTCATCAAACCAAATTTTAGCTGGCTCTCCCAAATATAATGCACTGCTATCTCCCTACAAGAAATTTGAGGAACACTTAAAAATTCACTGGTTATTCTAATAAGTAATGTTTCTAAGACTTTAACTCTAGAAATTTCAAGTATCATGGACTCAACAATGATTATACAGACAAATATCTCTTTCCTTTCTTCCTTTTTTTTTTTTTTTTTTTTTTTGGTGGTGTTAGGGATTGAACCCAAGGCCTTGCACATGCTAGGCAAGAACTGCACCACTGAGCAACACCCCTAGTCCCCTAAAAATTTCTTTAAGAACAAAGTATCAATGGTTAGATTTATAATATCTATTAAGAAAAGTTTCTTACCTTATTTTTCCTGTTGTCATTGTACTTGATTAAGTCTAAAATAAATGTTAAGACTTCTTTGGGACAAAGGTTATGAACATCCCTTAATAAAGCCATTGCAACTGGCATAGTCTAAAAATTAAAAAAAAAAAAATTTAAGCATATAACCCAAATTTTTCATTATGACAATTTTTTGAACTATATGTAGAAAAAAAATTACTGTAGAGTTGACATACATATGTGGATAGAGCCTAACCCCTTGGCTCCCACTTATTCCCATTGAGAACATCTCTCTAAGCATTCTAAGAACTTGGTAGGAAACCAAAAGAGAACTGTATGACTGGATGTACTATGTAGGACATGAACCTGTGAGTTCATTTGCTATAGGAAAATATATTTCATGTAAATTATATAAACTCAGTTCTGAATGATACAGAGGAAAGGAACAGACTTTAGCATTGGTCATTATTCAATTCCTAACTCCACTCTTACTACCCTGTAGTGTTTTTTAGCTAGTTGCTTACTAAATAGGAACCTTGTTTACCTGTAAGCATTTTTAGGGTTAAATAAATAGTGGTTGGAGTTAGATTGCATACAATAGTGCTCAATCTCTATTATTCTCCAGTACTACCTAACCCTGAGACTAAGGAAAAATAGTATGTTATCTGAAACCTAACCTACCTTTTCCCCTTTTCAAAATTTTCAAGTGCAATTTTTCTATGTAAACAGAAACATTACTCAAATAGTGGTACACCCTAGGCAAACTGCAGATATCCTTAGTACATGGCAAGATTTGCACTATCCCATCTAAACTGGGAGGGCAGAAAGAAGAATGGCTCATTTTTCTTGCTCGAAGGAGCAAAGGCAATGGAAGCAACAACAGTGTTCAGATTCTGTAAAATAAACTGAGGGAAAGTTTCTTTTCCATAGAAATATCTATACTACACAGTTCTGTTCTCTCTCTATCCCACCCACTACAAGTATTATAAGAAAAGTCAATTAGTCTAAAAAGGATTAGCTTTCCAAGTTTTTTGACTGCAATAAGAAATATATTTTATAACACAATCTAACACATGCGCACACATTTAGAAGCAATGTATATAAACTAAAAAATAAAAGGCTTATAATGAACCTCATCACACATGATACATTCTGACACTGGTTATTCTGTTTTATTTAAAAAAATAAAAAGCAAACAACAAACAAAAACTTCTAAATTAATTTCAAGGTCCCTCACAAACTGTCCACAACTCTAATTTGAAAGATATTCAGAAGTACAATAGTGTAATCCAGAGCATTCAGAAGTACAATAGTGTAATCTTGGCTGTTTCACAGACTTGTGAAAGTTAATTTCTGTGTTAACTTTCACAAGTCTGTGAAACAGCCAAGAACTGGGCAATATGTTTGAGTACTTATTATCCAATGTTCAGTTCTTAAAATAAAACAAGATGCCACACACTTCTTTGATCACACCTATTTGCCTTTCCCTACAGCTGGGTCATCCTCAACCTATTCTACTAATGAAATTTATATAATTATACCATGATGGCCCCTCTCAACAGGCACCCCAATGTTACCAGAAATCCTTTACTATTCATTATATTGTACATAAATCAACTTGTCTAACATACTCCTCAATATACCTTTTTACTTGTTTTTAATGTGCTTTTCACCTTCTTTAGAAAAAGGAATGTTCCTATCTTTTTTACAATTCTTCTCCTAGTTGTGTTCTCTCCCCTACTAACACCTTCAAAATTTATTCCATCACCTCTCTTTTACATTTACTTTCTCTCACTTAAAAAAAATTTTTTTCTTTCTTTTGGGTACTGGGGATTGAACTCAGTGACCCTTGACCACTGACCAAATCCCCAGCCCTATTTTGTATTTTATTTAGAGACAGGGTCTCACCAAATTGCTTAGCACTTCACTTTTGCTGAGGCTGACTTTGAACTCCAGAGTCTCCTGCCTTAGCTTCCCAAGCTGTGGGGATTATGGGTGTGTGCCACCTCACCCAGCTCACTTAAATATTTCATATCTTTCTCTCCACCAATTCTTTTTCTTTGCCCCAAACATGTCTTGGTTTACTTTTTCCTCTTTACAAATTAAACATAAAATGTCCTCTCTTCAACTTGGCTTAATCCTCAACACAGTTTTCTTTCTCATATTCTTCAACTAAAATCATGAAAGAATACGCTTCATTATTTTTCTCCACTTCAACTTCACTCCTTTCTATTTCAATCTAGTAATCTGATCTCTGACTTCATTTTTACATCACTCAAAAAACTACAAATGATTTCCTCATCACCCAAAGGCTGACCCCACTCTCATTCCTCTATCCTTTCCTAAAACAGTAATTCTAACCACACTATGTCACCACTTTCTAAATTATCATTTACAGAAAACTTACTAATGTAATCAGTGCAGTAAAAAGCACTTTACATAGTTATCTTATTTAATTCTAAAACAGATAAATTTTAAATTGAGCAAATAGGCTTTCTAAGTTAAAAACTTTTAGATTAAGAAACTTGTCCATGTGTAAACTGGTGGTGAATTATAGAACTGGGACAAAAACTGGAGGCCTATGCTGTATTGTTCCTGACATGGATATGCCTGTCACATTCTAGAAGGACTACAATCAGAAAGCCTTACCAATTCCTCCATTCACCAGAGAACCAACCAAAGACAAGTCATCCATTTCTACTCACTTGAGTACAATATAGATAGTGAGTTACTTGTATAAAATTCATTTTTAAAACTCAAGAAAAAAATCAAAATTAAAGTTCTGGAAGAAATATTACAAGATCAAAAGCAGACTTGTAATTAAAAAAAAGTAAACACATTATTTGAACAGTTTCCAAGTTAAACTACAATATACAGATTATGGCATTAAAGTCCTAAAGGCAAGCATAAATAAAATTAAATGTAAAAAAAAATCATTAGAATAGAACATAAACTGTACCTTTTGTAGAAAATAACTTTGAAAGCTCATGAAGTTGTTTGTTTTCACAATATTTGGACAAGTTTTACAACAAAACATTCTAGTAAAGAGTGACTTCATGGCTGGTGGTCCTGTCCACGTGCTTACCATTGAATTTGCAATCTGCAAATAATCAGAAAATGAAGTATTTTTCCATCACCACTACAAACATTTTTAAATCAATAAAATATCTTTATGAAAGCCAATACTATATTTCTTTTAAATTAATAAAATTTGAGCCAGGCACAATGGCACACACCTAAAATCCCAGCAGCTTGAGAGGCCGAGGCAGGAGGATCACAAGGTCAAAAGCAGCCTCAACAACTTAGCAAGATCCTGCCTTTACAAAAAAAAAAAAAAAAAAAAGGCTGGGGATGTGGCTCAGTGGATCAATGTCCCTGGGTTCAACCCCTTGCATGAAAAATAAATAAATAAATAAATAATCACACACACACAAAATTTGTCCTTTTATTATCATCTCCAAGAATATATACAAACCCACCCTCCAAAAATAATTCTTATGTACACTTATAGTTATTTTCCACAACTTAATTTTTAAACTGCAATAATCAAGAAATATGTTTGCAAAAGGCTTCTTCTTTGAGTAAGTTTGTCTCCATCCACTTAAAATGGACTTATAATTGTAATATTTTAAATTTATCAGGCAGAAACATCACCATAAATTTTAAATAAGGTTTTTCAGTATACCCAAGTCAAAACCAAGTTAAATACCATACTATTTAAGTCTTTTAGAATGCTTTACAAAAAAAAAAACAAAAACGTATCTGGCTTCTGGTATGTTCAGGGTATAGAAAAAAACCTGTCTGAAAAAATAAAGTTATGATTAACTTTAAGTTACATATTCCACATTTAAGTGTCACAAAGATCTTTACAGAAGCAATAAAATTTTATCTCTAAGAGATAATCATGTTTTTCCTCAAATATGTGAGAACACGGGAATTGAACTACTCATTTGCTATCATTAAACAAAACAAAGCTAAACCATTACCATCTGCTGAAATGTAAGATAAATGAATTTAGCAGTCAGAAAGGGAAGAGGGTCACTAAATCAGAATGAACTTATTATAAAGATGCTTTTTAAATACCTGTTAACCAATACTTCTGTCTAAATATTTGTCTGCATTCTTCTGGTTTTCATTTTTTCTGCCTTCAGATTTTGTTTTTTAATTCTAAAGACAGATATTTAGTGTTTTTAAACAAAATAACTTTTCCAGAATGTTAAATTGTAGAGCCAATCAGTATTAAATTACATGTCACAAATATTGGTTCCTAAGCCAAATCAATGTGAAATAACTGCTACAGAGGAATAATTGATTTCTATAATTTAAAAAGGAAAACTCACACCAGAGAATTTTTTATCAAATATATTCTTTGCTTTAAAAATATAATTGGCGTGAGCACGGTGACATATGCCTGTAATCCCAGTGATGTGGGAGGCTGAAGCAGGAGCACTGAAAGTTCAAAGCCAGCTTCAGCAACTTAATGAAGCCCCAAGCAACTTATGTGAGACCCTGTCTCAAAATAAAAAGGGCTGGGGATTTGGCTCAGTGGTTAAGCACCCCTACGTACCAAAATTTCCAGTACCAAAAAATGAATAAAGTTGACTGGTCATTTAATACAACAGAGAAAATTCTTTTTGGTTTTAAAATCTGGTGTTTCAGTTTGACAACCATCACATTTTTGTGCACATGTGCTTTTAGGTTAAAACATGTTTCCTCCAAATCAGTCCTGTTAAGTATTTGGCAGAAGCTTTCAAAGAACAGTTACCAAGTAAATTTAGACTATGGTGAATTGTAATTCATTTTCAGAAATTTAAAAAAAAAAACAAAACCATACAATAGTCATCTTGTTTTCCTTCTGCTTATATAATCTCACCTTTGCAAGACAGAAGCAAGCTGACATCCTTACTCGGTAGAAACACTGCTCTTGTTCTAATATGTCAGTGAGAGCAAGCCGAGATGCTGGAGTAGGAAATTTTTCCAAAGCCAAGATGGATTCCTGCTGTGCAACAACATCCCTCTCATAGCGGAGTTGATATTGCCACATAAAATCAGCTTGCTCAAATTCTACCTTTCTCAATACTGACATATCTGGGTCTATCCTTATCCACAGCAAAGGGGAATCAGCACTGAAATAAAACGCAATTTTCTATTTTATTTATTTTAACTTAAAAAACTTAATCCTTATTCTTAGAAAATAAAAACTAAGAAATTATTAATCATATTCTCCTTTAGATATAGTATTTAAACCATTGAGTGAGTTTCTGTATTTTTTAAACTGTACCAACAAATTTCTTATTATTTTTAATATATGTCAACTTTCTCACAATGTTTAATTTACATAAATCTTAATAAAAAGATCTTTTAAGGACAAGTCAACTGCTGTCACATAGGATACTGAATCCTTCATTTGCCATCTGAAAATATTATTTTTGGCATTTTTATTTGTGATTATGTGATGTGAAAAAGGAAAATGATATGAAATCTCTCTATTTAACCTTCTATTTGATAATGGCCTCCTAATTGATAATGGCTATGAATACTACTTTTTATTGGAAATCAGTTTGTGACTAAAAAAATGAAAACATCCATTTAACTAAATTTATTCCTTTAGTTGACTTAATATTTTTTAAATGCTAGATTAATAATTACATTTCTCAAACGGCAAGTTCTGAAACTATAATTCTAAAGAAAGAGTTTATCCTCATGTATTTTTCAAGTCATAAGCACAGCTCTAAAACTGAGTCTATGTCAACAATTCACCAAAAGAATACCATCTGTAATATTAATTCAATTCAACAAATACTACAGGGTGTTTACTATAGGCAAGGTACTTGCTACGGAAAATTTAGATTAACACTGATATTCTACATGTAAATAGTGATAACAATCTGGTGCCCAAGTCAGTAAATAACTACAGATGTTTATAAAAACATACAGGCACAGGGTAAATGAGCAAAATAACAAAGTTTGAGTTATATTATCTTTAAAAATGAAGCACTGTCAATCAATAAATATTATACCACATAAAATAAAAAATGTTGGTTTTTTAAATTTTTTTCTAATTTGGTTGTATACGACAGCAGAATGCATTTCAATTCATATTACACATATATAGCACAATTTTTAATATCTCTGTTTGTACACCACATAGACTCACACCATTCTTGTCTTCATACATGTACTTAAGAGTAATAATGTCCATCTCATTCCACTGCCTTTCCGAGAACGTTGTTTTTAAATTATGTTTTCGCAAATACAGGGAATCTCAAAATGTTCTGGAGCATTATCCCCAATATAATATCATGTGACAGTCATCACTATACAAAATACTAGGTCCCACAAATGAAGTACTGAGTCAGAAACTACATTTTAAGATCCCCAAATGATTCACAGGCACATCAAAGTTTAAGCAGCACTGCCTGAGAAGCCACCTAAAAGGAGCAAATAGACTGCTCACTTGAGGCTCTCTCAACTCCCTCACAATCATGCTGCATTTCCTCTTAATTTCACACAACCAGTCCAGATATATAATCTGATCTCTTTTTTGAGTCATGATTTTACAAAAATTGTTTCAAGCACAGAATTTATATTAACCTTAAATTTTTTTTAATTACTCATTTCAAGGATAATTACATACTTGTAAGTAACTTACTCCATTGCAGAAAGATCCATGTCAACTTCTTCTCCATTCATTAATGGGATTTTTTTCTTCTTATTCCTATATTAAGGAAAAGTAAGTTTGAAAACTAGATTTTCAAAGATAAAGAACAGTTAGAGATCTAAAAAAGAACCTCACATAATATTAAAGATGTTCTAATGAAGAATGGATAACAAATGTAAAGGAATTTAAAAACAACAAAATCTATTCTGAAGCTAGAGAAAATACTAAAATCTTTACCAAATCAAAGTTTAACAAAAAGCAGAAATATATAATTAAATGTCAACTGCAATCATGTATATTCTCAAGAACAATTTTAAATAGAAAAAAAATAAGAGGATTTACCAATAAAGAAATCCTTTACAACAAATAAAAAAAAATAACTAGGCCTGAAATAAGATGTAAATCATTTCAAATTGAATTATGTGCTTCATCTGCAAGGCTGTGTCCTATATAAAATGAAGTGATTAACTACTAAAACATCTTAAGAGTATTAATTAACACTATAGTTGGATCTGAAATATCTCCCAAGGACTCATGTGTTAAAAGCTTGGACCTCAACTGATAGCACTATTAGGAGGTAGTGGAAACTTAAGGGGGTAGGGCCTATTTGGAGGAAGTTCATTGAGGGTGTTATGTTGAAGGGCATTTCGGTGCATAGACCCATTCCCACCGTTGACCCATTCCTACTGTCTCTCTACTTCTTGGCCACCAAGAAGTGAGCAGCTTTACTCTATCATGCACTGCTTACCATAATATTCTGCTTTACCACAGGTCCAGAATCAATGGTGCAAAGTGACCATGGACTGAAAACTTTGAAACCACAAGCCAAATGAATTTTTTCTCAGGTATTTTGGCACAGCAATAAGGAGACTGACATAGAAAATGGTGCCGAGCAAGGAGGTCCCTGCTGTGACTATTTCTGACCATGTGGTTTAGAAGTTTTTGGAACTAGTCTGCAGAAATTTGGAAGGGTCTGGAGATGTAGGTTAGAAAAGCCCTAGAATTATTGTAAGCAGTGTTTAATGGACGAGTCTAGTGAGGGGTGGAAGACCAGAATGCTGATAGGACTATATACTATAAAGAGCATGTTCATGAGGCTTCAGATGTAAATGAGGACTCTACTGAGAACTGGACTACAGGCCATACTTGGTATATTGTAGCAAAAAAATCCTGTCTAAATTTTCTCTATGCCCTGCGACTTTTTGTGACACTGAGTTTAAAGAGGGGTTTCTATGGTAACTGAAAGGTAGTTGGCAAAGTGGTTACTTGCTGCCAGGCTCCTGGCAATGCCACTTCTATGTGTTTTGCAGGAGGAAGCACCTTGCCTGCAGGACATCAACGCAACCTTAACGAAAAAGAATTTATTTCCTCTTTCACCATGGCATATTAGTTATCCAGAAATACCACTGTGGGAAACAGTCTTCAGGAAAGCCTCATACAGTCTCAATAGGTCATCCACCTGAACTTACCCTTCAAGTTCAACTTCAGTTTGATAAAGTTATATAAATTAAAGAATTAGGAACAGTCAGTTTTGGGAGAATGCTCTATGTAAAGATTCAGCAATAATGTGTGGACTTTTGTATTGAATGATGTTGAATTCAGAGAGGTGAACTGAAGTGGATAAAGCAAAAATTATAACCTGTGATGGTAAAAATATTGGCTCCAATACTTCAGAATGACTAGAAAAAACATTTTTAGTACATTTACTGTTATTCATCACTTTTTGAAAAGAAGCAAAGAAGAAAAAAATTATTCTAGCACTGCATGAATGATTACACTGTGCTTTAGTATCAGAGAATTCCAGCAAATACCTTATAGCTCTATATTCTCTTACATTATACAGTATGAAGAAATATAACTTTTTTTAAAAGGACAAATCAAAAGTTACTGCCGTAAGAACATTCTTTAATAAACTAACTTTAAAACTTGAAGAAAAGATGATGAACCAAATCTAACAGAGGAATTTTCAAGGCAGCACAGCATTCAGGCAAGGGCATCAGTATTGCTGGTAGCTTTTGGCCAGATATACTGTGAGAATAACAACAAGGAGCAAAGAAAGATTTGAAAAACTTGCAGTTTGGCCAGAAAAGAGGCACTGGTGAAGTCAGGGCAAAGGAAAGTGTGAGTACTTAAGAGATTAGCACCTTTAAAAAGAAATCAAGTACTTTGCCCTGGGATAATAGGGAAGATGCCTAAGGGCATCTCAGGAATTGGCCCGTTCCATCCACTGCAGCCACAAGAATGTAAGTGTAAACCTTTCATTTGAAAAGAAGAGTAGGGGGCTCCCAGGTCCCCAGGGAAGCCTCAGAAGTTGTTTCCCCAGGAATCATTTCACTGTGTTCAGTCATCTGTGCACAGAGGTCTCTACAGCCATGGTCCAAGCATGCCTGGCTACAGCTCATTGATGGGAAACCTTGCTGTCATCCATGTGATGCTACATGCCTGGGGCTTGCAGAAATGCAGAATGCAAGAGCTATAAGGTCACAGAGGTTTCCACCAAAGACCTGGAAGGCCAGGCAGTATGTGGTAGGGTCAGAATCCCTGCAGGAGCCTGTTATGGTTAGGATAAGAGGTGTTCCCCAAAAGCTCATGTGTAAAACAATGTAAGAAGGTTTATAGGAGAAATGATTCCAGTTATGAGTCTTAAGCCAAACAATGAATTAATCCCCTGATGGGATAAACTGAGTGGTAACAGAAAGTGGATAGGGTGTGGCTGCAGAAGGTGGGAATTAGCAGCATGCCTTTGGGGCATATATTTTTTATCTTGCAAGTGGAGTCTCTAGGCTTTCTGATCATCTTGTGGGCTGCTTTCTTCCACCACCCCCTTCTGCCACGGTGTTCTGCCTCAGTTTGAGCTGCAAGGAAATGAAGCCAGCCTTCTATGGATTGAGACCTCAGAATCGGTGAGCCCTCAAAATAAACTTTTCCTCCTCTATAATTGTCTTTTAGTCACAGCAGCAAAAAAGCTGAGTAAAAGAGACCCTGAGAGGGCCATGCAGAAACCAGTGAAAGTGAAGCCAAAATTGCAAAGGAGATTCCAGGAAGTTAAGAGATTCCAGGAACGAATGTCTGCCAGGGAATGCAGCAGCAGCAAGCCAACGCAGCCCAAAAGAATGGTCATGTGGGATGCAGTAAGCAAAGCCACAGGAAAGGGGCTGCACAAGTCCTTTGGGGCCCTTAGATGCCAGACATGGGATTATAGGATTTAATGGTGGCCTCCTGGATTTCAGTCTTGCTTTGGTCCAATTCCTCCTTAGAATTCCTTCCTTTTGGAATGAGAATGTTTATCCTATACCTTTGTATATTAGAAGTATGTAACTTTCTTTTTGCTTGTATAGAGGCTTACAGCTGAGAGTTTACTTTGAGCTTCAAAGAAAACTATGAACTTTTAAGTAATGCTAGAACTGTTAAAACCATTCAGACTCGTGATGATTAAACTAAATACATTTTGCACTGGGAGATGAGCATAGGCCTTTGGGGAGCAGGGGGTAGAGTTTTATACTTTAGATCTGAAATATCTCCCAAAGTTTGGTCCTCAGATGGTGGTACCATAAAAAATAATAAAATCCTGTCACCTGCAGAAAATGGATAGAATGGGAGAACATCATGTCAAGTGAAACAAGCCAGACACAGAAAGATATGTGTGACATGTTTTTTTCTCATATGGGTAAACTTTAAAAAAAAAAAAAAAAGATGATCTGAAAGAAGAGGGATTAATTATAGGGTCTAGGAAGTGGGAGGAGAGGGGAGAGGAAGAACAGACGGTAGAAGTAAGAATGGATGGACATGATCAATGCACAATATAAGCATGTAAGAAATAGCACAGTGAACCCTATTAATTTGTACAATTAAAATGTGTCGTAATTTTTTTACAAAGCATAAACCTAAATTGTTTTTCTTGAGTGTTTCTTAGCTTCAAAGACAAAACTTCCACCTTCTTCTCCTACCTGCCCCCTCCCCACAAAATAAGTACCTCAAACCTAAATTTAAAAAATTAACGCCATTCCAATGCAACGGCACAGCAACTTGAAAACCTATGGCAGGAGGATGGCAAATTTAAAACCAGGCTCAGCAACTTGGCTGAAAATAAAAAAGTATTGGACATATAACTCAGTGGTAAAGCAACCCTGGGTACATTCCCCAGTACCTCCCCAACACACACACACACACACACACACACACACAGTATTAATTCTAAAGATAAAAAGTCATTAAAAACAGAAAACAAATGAAGACTATTTGGTAATGCTAACTTGAGGTAAAATAAAAAGAAAGATAACACGTTCTTTACTTTAAAAATTAGGAATACAAAAGGATTTTTGTTTTGGCATTTTTATCTGTGAGATTCATAGTTTAACCTTCTGTTTTTAGCTATGATTCAATGCCTACCTTCTGCTTTTGGAATGGCAAGGTATATCGTGTTTAAGGCTGTTTTCTTCAATTTGCAATGTATGATTGAAGGATCCATCTAATTCCTGTACTGTCACTTTAAGTGGTCCCTTAAAAAAATACAAACATACTGTTTGAAAATTGTGCTAGAAAAAACATCAATATGTATACTTACGTGTATAGACACACACATGTATAAAGATATAAAATAATACTATTCAAGATGTGTATCTACAAACACACAAGAGCATCTGGTGACAAAGAAGAGAGGAAATGGGAGAATCTGAAACGTGTTCTGTAGCCCCTCTTCCCTTCATGGACTCATAGTATTTTTCAATTCATTCTCTGCAAACAAAATCCTATTATGAAACTTCTAACCAGTAACCTTATACGTAAACCCTTCCTATACTGAAAATGGAGAGCAATACAAAAGGCCCCTTTGGAAAAACAACACTTACCACATACTTCTGAGTTCCAGGAGATGTATAATCTTGTTTTATTTCCAACTCTAAGACATTTCGTTTTCTATTAAATGCAAAACTTCCATAAAATTTTACCACTCCACTTTGGTCTCTGAAGAATTGTAAAGGAAATTTTACATGCTGAAATGAATATATACTAAATGAATATATACTAAACAAAACTGTAGTTTAAAAATTTTCAAATGTATTATCAGGAGTTCAAAGCTTGAAAGCAGATTTTATTATAAACCAGGTGGCAAAGTATTCAAAAACCTTGTGAAAAATGCTTCCCCAGATTTAAACAAAATTTTTGAAACATTGAGAAATTTGTGTTTTGAAAAAAAAAAATTTACCAGATTATTAAAATGTTCTTAAAATGAAAAATGCAAAAACTGCAAAATTACAAGATACCATTCAAGTTGTGCCAATTTCTAACCACATCTAAAAGTCACCAGACCATTTCATCTTACAAGTATGCTACAGGCTGTCTGGTAGATTATTTACCTCATCCACTAGCAAACCTATTTTTTTTTTTTTTACTTGCATATTAAAAAGTACTTAAAATACGACAAATTTTATAAAAATAAGCATGTTTGTGTATATATATATATATGTGTGTGTGTGTGTGTGTGTGTGTATCTCAATGATTAGCAGCAGTTTTAGAGGAAACAATTCACAACTCACAGCCATTTCCACTATTTTTTTTACAAATATTAACAGTTCATACATACTCACCCTATACCCCAAATCCCTCTTCTTTTATCTTCCCCTTAAACATACCTTACTCCCCACCCCACTCTGTAGAAATGCTATTGAAAAGGATACACCCACTGCTTTATTAAGGGCTGGATATCTTTGCCAGAGACATTTGAAATGGATTTCAAAAACCCAGATGTGGAAACCAACATCTGACTCCACATATGTGACTGGAACTTCTGAGATGAAGCAGTACTAGCCAGGCTTAGCAATTTATTGAAAACCTTTAACAATAAAAGTATCATTTAGTAAGTTCATATAACACTGATTTCTGTTGTATACTGTACCCACTTGGCATTATAACCTCATTATAGCCAACTGTAAAAGACAATAATTTCACAACTTCTTATACAGATTGTTCTAGTTAAAGACTACAAGCAACAGAAACATGCAAAGATTTAAACAGCCAGAATATAAAAGCATTCTAAATGTGAACATTATTGAATATTAATAATACAGTGAACAAAAAATATTGTGTTTACTAAGAATTAGATCAACATCTAATACCTACAATTTATTCTGTTGAGTTTTATAGAGAAACTAAAAATTAAGGACTTAAGAATATTCATTAGCAGTCTAATACACTCAAGTCTTAAGCATGAGTCTTAAAATTTTGTGCCTTTTCTATTTACAAAAGGTGGGGAGACAGCTGCGGGTGTTCATCAGTGTTAAGAGTTCCTCCCAAGCATGTGTGAATCCCTAGGTTTGAGCCTCTGAACTACAAAAATTAAATAAAAAGTAAATACACAACCAGAGAAATGAAAAATTGTACACCACTTGCGTACTATGAATCAAAGTACATTCTGCTGTCATGTATAACTAATTAGAATAAATACATAAATAAATTATTTTAAAAAAAGTAGGTCTAGGGATATAGCTCAGTTTGTAGAGTGCTTGACTTGCATACACAAGGCTCTGGGTAAAATCACCAGTACCAAAAAGAAAAAAAAAGTAAATACAAATAGTCACTAGGATTTATACTACTGTAAAAAGTTGAATGGCTCTTTATAGACCATTTTCTCATTTAATATTTCCATTTTCCAACCTAAAGGCAAAATGAAGGATAAAAGAATTAAACTTAACTTTAAGGTAAACTTAAAATGCTTTCTCTTTCTGTTTTGGGAGACTAAGGAAGAAGTATTGCAAGTTCAAGACAAGCCCCAGCAACTTTATGGCCCTAAGTAACTTAGTGAAACTATGTCTCAAAATAAAAAATAAAAAGGGATGAATATGTGGCTCAGTGATAAAGTGCCTCTGGGTTCAAGCCCCACTACCAGGAAAAAACAAAACAAAACAAAAACGGCATTAAATGTTGTTTTTTCCACCTGCCTCTCAGAATGCTACTATCATTTATAATGTACCTATATGATCTCTACTATCTCATCTACCATACTGAAAACTACTTACGCCTGAACATGTTTAAAAGTATGGCAGAATTTAACAATAGCAAAAAATAAGCACCTGTTAAATGGGTTTTTTTTCTATTGCCAGTATTTTTAAATGGAATTTCATCCTTATTCTTCTAATTACTGCAGAATACAAAATAATGACTAAATAGGTTTGACCTTCATCTTCACATCCTAATTTTATCTTCATAATAATCATGTGCTAAGTAGCTTAGATACTGACACCATTCTATTCCTGAGAAATGCAAATTAACAAGTTATTTAGTGGCAAATAACAGTATAAACCCAGATTCCTAGAGAATAATATTCATTATAAAAACATAAATTTATCTCTTCTATTGTTAAGTTCTTAATTTTAGTACTTACTTGTAGCATAAATTCCATGCTGATTCTATTTTCAATCAATCTCATCACAAGATGGGCTTTACACTGAAACATAGTGTAGTATTCCCAGGAGAGTGTATGCGGATGCTTTATGGAAAAGTGTAGATGGGATGCTGGACTAAAAAACAACAACAACAACAAAAAGATTTATTTAATAAAACACATTTGACTATTAATTAAGCACTAAATTTCATGGCCACATCAAAAGCCTCATGGGAATACCTAACATATTTCCTTAGTACCAAGAAACATCTAAAAATCAACTTAACTAGAAGAAAATTATGATATTTTCCTAACGCACATAAAGGAAACTTGAAAAAATGGAAATACATGACAAACTCATAGATGGGAAGACATAATACTGTATATATAAATTCTCACCAAATCCAGAAATACAATCAATGCAATTCCAACCAATATCCCAATGCTAAAGCATGCATAAAAATACATTCAAGGTAAATTGCATAAAGTATAAATCTACAAAGAAAAAAAAAAGGAATTTTTCTCTTCAAATCCCAGAGTGGGAGAAATTTTCCTAAGAAAAATGTGAAATCTGAAGAACATGAATACCAGATTGACTATGTAAAAATTTAAAATTTTGACAAGATAAAAAAGATCATTAGTGAGAGAAAGGTACAGTCTAGTAGAAAAGTAGAATTTCTACATGATCATATACCTTGAAGAAGACTTGGGTAATCTGGAAATTACCCATTTTTAAAATTTGAATCAATATATTAGCCTTCAAAAATGTACCAAATTATACTCTTCGAATCAATATATAAATAGTGGCCCTCCAAAAATTCACATTAAAACTTAATCCCAATGTAACAGAATTAAGAGGTGTGACCTCTGGGAGATGATTATGTTATGAGGGCTCTCCACCCTCCATGAACAGGATCAGCACCTTAGTAAAAGGGTCTCAAGGGTAAAGGGAACTTATTTGCCGGTCTGTCCCTTAGGTCATGTGATGACACAGTGTTCCTCTCCTCTGTAGGCTGCACAACAAGATGCCTTCTTGGAGGCAGAAAGCAACCCTCCTCAGATATCAATTTTGTCTGTCCCTCAAAGCTTGGACTTTCCAGCTTCAGCTTCCCCAGGGTTAATAACCATGAGAAATAATTTCCACTGTTTATAAATTAGCACCTATGTGATCTCTAATATCTCATCTACTATATTAACTACTTAGTTACAATAGCATAAACTAAGACAAGTATTATGTGTGCTTAAAAGCATGGCATACTGGAGCTGGAGTAGTGGCTCAGTGGTAGAGCACTTGCCTCACATGTATGAGGCACTGGGTTCGATTCTCAGCACCACATATAAATAAATGAATAAAATAAAGGTTCATCAAGAAAAAAAAATTTTAAAAATCGCATGGCATATTGAAATTTAAAGTATTTTTACCAATCCAATATTTATAAAATTATTTTTATATTTCACTTATTACTTTCAACCTTTTGAGCACTGTGGGTTTATAAGCTTTAGAAATAAACAGTAACATGGCAAATGCTAAGGCAAAATGGAATAGTATGTAAATCTTAAATGGAATGAAGCAAGTTAATGTAGTTATAGAGATTGTTTACCAAGTATACTTGATTGTAAAAAAAAATACAAAGTAGAATTCATGATTGTTTTTTTGTTTGTTTTTGTTTTTTTAATGTCAGTTACAGAAAAATAAAAGCCAAAAAAAGTCTTGAAGATACATCAAAATTATAATCATGGTTATTCAAGGAAATGAACTGGTGGGGTTTTCAACAGTGGTAAAAGAGGATTAAAAAAGAATCTCTTTACTTTATTCCAATACTTCTAAATTTTCTTGAACTCTTGAAAGAATATTTTTCACGTACAAATTTTTAAAATTAAACATATAACAAAAACTAATAAATGAGTGGGACTAATATAAAAACCATTGAGTGTAAATACTAAGGAACAATGGGAATGCCCTAATTATACTAGGAAACTGCTAAGCATTAGGCACTCAGGAGAAGAAATTAAAATTTACTGAGTGCTTATTATATATATAGCTTTACCTCAAGTGATCCTTCACAACCAACCACTTTAAGGTGAATCATTAGTGGTAATGTATAAATACATTAAAACACACACATGCACATACACATAAAGGTTATGTAATTTTCTTTAACTGCAAATTTAACAATAAAAGTCTAGTTTGCCTAACTCTATAAATTCCCTATACTTTGGAATATTATTCATCCATAAGAATGAATGACCTTATAATTTTTGCTGGTAAATGGATAGATCTAGAGACTACCATGATAAGTGAAATAAGCCAATCTCAAAAAACCAATGGCAGAATGTTCACACAATGGGGGCAGGGGAGAAGAATAGAAGTTAGGTGGATTAGACAAAGGGTAATAAGGAGAAGGAAATAGGGATGGAAACAGAAAAGACAGTAGAATGAATTAGACATAACTTTTCTGTGTTCATATATGAATACACCACCAGTGAAATGCCACATCATGTACAACCACAAGAATGAGAGCCTAACTACAATAAGTTATACTTCATGTATGTATAATATGTCAACATAAACTCTACTGTCCTATGTATCTAAAAAGAACCAAAAACAATAAAATAAAATAATTAATTCCTATTCTTCCCCACTGACTTAATTTTATCTCAGTGACCATCTGCAACAACACCAACAAAAAGGGCTATCACTTGCAAAACTTTAATTATCTTAATCTTTGCTGTTCTTTGAGCACTTCAGGCACTATGATTAACCTTATGAGTCGTACGTAAAAATTTGCTTTTAAATAACTAAAATACATAGGGTTATAAAGGAAACTAATTATAATGATATAGTTAATCAAAATATTAAAAATTATGATACTCCACTGAATATACAAGTTTACTTATTAAAAAACAACAAGATCTAGCTAGAGTCTGCTGTAGTAATTTTGAGGTAGTGATGAATACAAGGATATATAAACATTTCTGCTACCAGTGATAATGTGACAGAAAAACACCTATGATTTCTACTGCTGACAAAGTAACACATATTGTTAATACTACCATATATATTGCCAACATCCCTAATGAAGGAAATGAAAAATTTTAGTTTATGGTTAGGGAAATTAGGAAATTTTCACTTCACTTCAATCCATAGTCCTTTAGAGAATCTATGAACCTTAGATGAAAATCCCTGCCAGCACCACTGTGTTGTTATAAGTGACTATCTTGAGAATCACAGCCTCAGGAAAAGAGTCTCCTGTGTATCTCCTTTGCTAGCAAAGAAAAAAACTTTCTTCCTTTTTCTGAAACCGTGTCCTCATTATTGGACTGGCATCAAGGACAAGGACCAAGTTTTCAGTAACAAACTGGCAACCTAGATGGGACTTGAGAACACTTCCCTCTCCAGTTTTCTTGGGCAGGTCTAGTATTCCCAGCAATCCCTCTTCCATACTGAGGATTCAAGGTGGCTGGTCAGCTTGTTGAGAGACAATGGCTAGAAAATTAGGAGACACGTGAGTCTGCTTCAGGCTGAAGAGGAGGAGCTGTTCCCATGAGTAAAGGGAAGGACTGAGGGACCATCTAAGCAGCTATCAAGCTCTTTTGGCTTTAGAAAATTCTTGCCTTCTCTCTCTGAACTGTAGGTTGCTCCATCAATTGTTCAATTGTGAGAAAAAGGAAAATGAATGCTGTAAAGTCGGGACACCCTTGGACATCTGCATGATTTCTGCCCTATGTATTCCTTGTTCAGTCACCCACCAACTGCTACCACAGATATCTGGACTGCCACGATGCTAAATATTCTTAACTGTCATTGTCCCACCTGATAAAGGAAGAAGGACTTTGTGTCACTTCTCTCCAACTTTGCTCTCTAGAAGGAAGCAACTTGGAGATGTAGTTACCCATTTTTCCATAAAAATGGAATGTAGAAATTGACAGGGGGGAAATATAACAGTACTCCACTTCATGCATTGAATATAAACTTTTTCTGCCCTGCTGCTGTGACTTATTTTTAAAACAGACATGTTTCTTTCTTTTCTTCTCCCCTTCTTCCTCCCTAATCCTTTCTTTCCAATCTGGGGAGGGAGAGGGTAGGATTACCCTTCTTCCTCATCCTAGGCTTTCCTGTGCTTAAGCACACACAAGAATGAAGTAATCAGGTGATGCCAGAAGATCTAAGAAATCTCCCAAACTAACAAGCAAATTAAGACACCCCCCCCCCCCATCTAGGGTACACCTAGAATGTAGCCTTTGAATCCCCCGATAGGCAGATTCCTTTAGGACCGGAGTCCCATTTGTTTCTCCTTTCCTAACAGAGTAATAAAACTTTTTTTTTTTCCTTTTTCCAAAACAAAAACAACAAAAAGTGGCTGTCTCTTTTAGTGACCTGATAAAACAGAGAAGACAGGGAGAAGAGTGAGGGAAAGAAAAGAAGGAAAAAGGAATAAATGAATGTCTACTTACGTAGCTACTCAGGTAAATAGGTAGGGGTAGGATGTCTTGATGCTGAAATTATCTACTTAGACTTAAAAAAACAGTGGTATAAAAGCAAAATACTCGTTTCCATTATTTTTAAACTTTAATAAGAACAGTATGACACAATAGCATTAAGAAGTAATCACAGAAAATAGCCTAATTTTTTTTAAAGTCTTTTTTTTTAGTTTGAATCCATTTGTAGCCATCTCATGAGATAAACATAGAAAACAAATGAAAGGAATATTCATAGCATTAATAATTTTGCATACTATCAGTACTTCTTTGGCTTTGCAGGGGCCTCAATAAAAACACAAGTGGTCTAAGAGTGACCCCATGAAATAAGGCTCATATCTTGGAACAGAAAACTTACTTATCCTTCTCTTTTCCTCCACCAAATATGGGATGTAGTAAAACTCCCCCAGTTTTTAGTTCATATGCCACTATTTTATCTAGCTCCTAAAAAAGACATAAAAATGGGAGTTAAAAACTTTCACACACCAAATTTTAGAAATAAACCATAAATTCTCTTTCCTGGCACCAGAATATAAATTTTATAAGATAAATGAAATGCATCTGCAGAATAGTTAATGTTCTTATAAATAAAGCGAACTATACAGCTGGCTGAATGCTAAAAGCCAAACAGCATTCTTTACTTTGTGATCAGGGCTGGCCAGCAGCCTGGCAACTTTTCCTTATGGCTCTTCTCAACCTCTCTGACCTGTCTTCCAACTTTATTTTTTCCTTCTCAGTATTTTGCTTCTGAAGACTTAGACAAGTAAAAAGAAAAGGGGATAAATTATGTTAGAAATCTATAATTTTAAAACATCTCTAGTCTTCTCTAATATGACATAAATCAAACTCATGAATAACTTAAACAATATAACAATGCCTGACACAAGTAAGATGTAATTTTTTTCTCCTTCTGAAATGAAGAACTGGCTCTAACAGTTCTGAATGTGTAAATTCTTTCAACAGTTCTAGATGCGTGAAGTCTTTTTAACAATTAACTTTTGGGCTTGGGTTTATGCCTGAATGATAAAAATATATAAAATAATAAAATGGGGAAAATGAAGGAGGCTATTTAATTAGAACATTGCAACTTGGATTTTTATTTACCTGAGAAGAAGAATATATAAGCATGACATAATTAAAACATATATGACTAGAATGGAATATGCAAAATAGATAGTTTTCATTTTTTTCTAAATGTTTAAATAACAGGAAAAAGGTATAACAATAGAGAACATATAAGCATTAAAGGGATAACCAGCCTGTAATAAGCATTCATCATGTGCAAAATATGCATGATATAGTGTGCCACAACCCTTGACAACAGGGTAAACACTATTTCACTCCTTACACAGATGAAGCTTAGAAAGATTAACCATTCACAAAGCCAGACTAATTTGCAAAGCACAGGTACAAAAGACCACTATGAGGAGCTGTGATATATCTATTGACCAACTTGATGATTAGAGAGTTTAAATATTCTTCTCCTTAGGGAAAAGTTGTTAGGGGCCGACATTGACGATAAAACAGATAACTAATTTTTTTTCTCAGTGAATTGACACTCATTTTATGAGGGAAAATTAGAGATTTTTCAAGTTATGTTTTACAGTCATTAAAAATAAAGCACATGATGGGAGCTGGGGTTGGTAGAGTGTTTACCTAGCATGTTGGGAAGATCTGGGTTCAATCCCCAAACCAAAAAAAAAAAGCAAAACAAAATGAGCACATATAACTTGGAAACCAGGAAAATACTATTGTATCTTACTGACTTATGAGTGTGTAAGGGATCTAGCTATTATTACCTCTTTAATCCAATGGTGGTACTCATTAACACCAAAAGTTTTCTTCATCCAAAGTCCATAAATATAGCCTGAAATTCCCTTCAGCACCCATTCATCAGACCTAAGCAAAAAGTCAACATTTAAACTTATTTTTAATCATAAAACTCTTCAGATGAAGTAAAAAAGAATAATGCAACTAGTATGAACCTCCTCCAGCCTTCTTAAAGAAAAGGAAAGTGATTAACAAATTATTGGGCTCCTAACTTCCTCTGTCTGATGTGCCCATTCATTATGCCTTTTTTTTACATCTGGCTTAATCTTTAATTATAAGACTACTTTCCAATCTTATTTCAAGTATAATTTATCAATAGATGTGCTCTATTTCAACAGTGTTGCTTCTCTCCTTACCAACTCTGCTCTGACCATCTGCCTCTTTAGAAATACCTGTGAATAACAAGGATTGCACTGCTCAGTTCAACATTCCGCTTTCTTTACTACTAATCCAATGCATAATTTTCTTTTTCTCTCTTTTGTTGGGGGCAGGGGGAATTGAACTCAGAGGGGCTTTAACACTGAGCCACATTCCCACCCTTTTCATTTTTTTGTTTTGTTTTGAGACAGGGTATCACTAAGTTGTTTAGGCTAGCCTCAAACCTGTGATTCTCCTACCTCAGCCTCATGATTCTCTGGGATTACAGGCGTGTACCAATATGCCCAGTTCTATACATAATTTTCAATGGTATCCAAAACATGAAGTTGAACTATTAATTACTGTTATGTTTCTCCAGAGAAAAGACAACTGGCATCATTCACTCATTTATTCATTCATAAATATATCCATCTGTCCAGGCATCTGCCTATCATGTTCAGGCACCATTCTTTAATTAAACTATATAAAATGTTAGGAAAATTATAAATCAGAAATGTTCCCCTTTCCCATTTAGCAAGAAAGAATAACAAGCCAGGATTTATACAACATGCAGAGTACAAAATGTTCGCAATTAGAAATTGTAATCTTCAAGAAATTTTTTTGTATTCTTTCAAACTCATCTCAAGCTAAACAAAAAGAAAATAGAAGGGTTTGGGGCTTTTTTTTTTTTGGCAGTGCTGAGGATTAGACCCAGGGCCTGGTACATGCTAGGCAAATACTATATCACTGAGACATACTTCTAGTCCAAAAAAATATTCTCATCTCTCCTTTCTTTCAAGCAATGTGGTACACAGTTGAATACTAGCAAGGAACTCTCTACAACATAATTATTTTATGTAGAGAATTATTTTGCTTTAAACATTACCTTGAACATTTCCAACTGCTATGAGCACTAGCATCAGAATTCTCACTGTAGTTTTGTGCACATTTAAGTCTATTCTTTAAGAAATTGTGTTTAAAAATCTGACTTTACTACAGAAGCAATTATACTGATTTTTACAGCCAAAAAGTTAGGATGAAATTTAAATTCATTACTTTTCTAAGATATACACAGAGAATAGTATCTTTTAAGCTAGTTATCTACAATTAGAGCAAAGGTCAGCTTACACTGCAAGAAAAGAGAAATAAACCTTTCTGATTCAATTTCTTATTTGAATTGAACCCAGAGGTAATGTAAACATTAAAATGACTTACCAAGACATTCTGGATATGAAACATCCAAAAAACTGCTGGGCCAAGGACTGGGCTAAACACCTTCTAGTCAAAGGTGTCTCATCTATAATCATGGCACTGTGTAGAAGATTTGTGCTGAAATTTAAATGAAGAGGAAGTTAATTAAAATAAAGAAATCATTATTCAGTCAAAATAAAATAATTAATAATTAAATAATCATACTTTTAAAATAATCGAATTAAAGTTAAACACAAAAGATAAAAACCAGAAAAGTTTCCCAGAATACTTTCTAATCTTTTCAGAACTTGGCTGAAATTTATAGTCTTAACTGCTGCTTAACACAGGGAACAATGCTGGATATAGTGGCACATGCCTGAAATTCCAGCGACTGGGGAGGGTGAAGCAGAGGACTCTCAAGGGCCACCCTGAGCAACTAAGCAAGAATCTTTCTCAAAATAAAAAATAAAAAGGACTGGGGATGTAGCTCAGTGGTAAAGCTTCCTGACTTCATCCCCAGTAACAAAAAACAATAAAACAAAAAAACAAAACCTTTCCTAATAATTACTAACTTTGTTTTATTATTTATCTTTAAACACATTATCTCATTGGACTTTCCAAACAACACCCTGAGGAATGCCCATTTTACACATGAGAAAATTTAGAAACAAGGAATGTAAAATAACTGACTTTGAAACATAAAACAGACATTTGGAATTTTCCAAAGAAGGAATAAAAGAAGAGAGGCAGGTAAGGAAGTTTAAGAAAGAAAGAAAAGGAGAGAATGAAAAACAAATCCTCTCTACTTTTTTCCATGAACAAGTTTCTGATGGTATCAGCATATTTTTAAATATTACTAGAAAAACTAAACTATGGGTATGATTTTTAAAAATTTATAAACAAAAAAAGAGACTAAAACATGCAAAATATTAACATCTATTAATTCTGGATGAAGACAATGAGTCTTTAAAGTTACTTTAAAATTTTCTTCATGTTTTTCTACAATTTTAAATTTTAAAAACACAATATTTTCTTCAACTCAATTACATTTAAATTAAGGGGAGAAAGTTCATACCTCACAGTAACCCTGCCTATAAAATCAGAAAGCTTTCCCCATATCACTATTCTACTTTAGGCATTTCAAATGTGAAGAGATACCAACCTAAAAATGCTCATGGAAGCATAAGCAGCCACTTCAACATAAGCCTCATCAATGAATACAGTCTTAAAACACGAGTATGGATATCGACATGTAAGAATTTCTTCATAAAATTCAAAAACTTCATGAAGGTATGACGTGGTATGTTTAAGCAATGGAAGAAGTTGGGGTAAACAAAAATGAGTAACCTGAAAATAAAAAGCCAGGGAGGTCATCTAAATGTTAAGGGTTAACGTTTATATTTTAGATTTCCTAAATTTCAATTCTTTCTCTCTCTCTCTATATATTTTTTTATAAATTTCATAATCCTGACAGTAAATGCTATGATAAAATTATTAATTACTTTTTTAATCACCTTTACAAAATATTCATTGTATTGAAAATACTAAATTCATGATGGATTATAAATCTGTGAAATGCTTAGACCTATTAAAAATAAAACTCTGGTTCCAAAATAAACTAAAATTTCTTCTGATAGGAATACATAAAAAGAATTTTCAAAACCTACCTCTTATTTATAAATATCTAACCTATTGAACACTATGCATTTTATAGCACTCTCTTAATAATTTTTCTTTTGAAGGTGCTGGGGATCGAACCTAGAGCCTTGCACATGCTAGTCAAGTGCTCTATCACTATGCTATATCCCCAGCCTCCCATCCTAGTACTTTAGTTAATGCTAACCAACTGTATATAAAGAACAATTACTATATTTGGCCTCTAAAATCTCAAATACATAATGAAAGCTACAGAAGCTTACTGGTAGTTAGGAGATAAGAAATGCTCACAATACAAGTAGCAATTTTGGTTTTCTTATTAGGTAATAGTTCACCGGTCACAGAAGTATCACTGACTCATATGATAATTCTATTTCAAATTAATGACTTCAACAACGGCACAGAAGAGAATACCCAGGAAGGTTTCATATAAGAAAAAGAATCTGTGGTAATCATTTTAAGTTAGATAAAAGTTTGGTACATCACAACAGGAAAAGTGAATATCCGAGATGGAGAAAGAACTGTGTTATGAAAAATAGACCATTTCAAATATATTAAAATTTTAGATTTTTTACAACATGGTGCTTAGTATTCTAAAAGATTCAAGTATAATCTGATTAGAGTATAGACTGATGTCTACTAATTCTGTTCACTATTAATGTCTTCTTTTTCCTTAACATGTGTTTATGAGTGTTCAAGTCCCATCTCTGGAATCTGAAAAATCACATATTCAAAATTAAAAAGCAAGCCAGGCACAGCGGCACACGCTGGCAATCCCAGCAATCTGGGAGGCTGAGCCAGGAGGATTGCAAATTCAAGGCCAGCCTCAGCAACTTAATGAGACCTTGTCTCAAACTAAAAATAAAAAAGGGTTGGGGATGTACCTCAGTGGCAAAGTGCCCTTGGATTAGAGCCCCAGTACCAATAAATAAATAAACAGAATTTTAAGCGCAAGACTTATTCTCACTTCATTGTATTCAGAAAAGAGAAAAAAAGACTGAGGCAGGGTTCAAATTCTAGTCAGCAAACTCATGAAGATTTCTTTCCTTTTGAGAGGAATTCACTCAAGAATTCATGTCATTAAAATGTAATTAACATAGTTTCTAAAAATAAAAAATAATATATAATTTCTCTCTAGTGATATTCTTGATAGCTGGAAGATGAGTTAAGAAAGACATTATTTCATTAATACTCTTCATTTAACAAGAAGTGAAAGGATAGAAGAGAGCAAGAGGGGAGAAGCTATGACTTACCTCATGCATATACGGATCTACAAGTATTTCAAAAGGTCCAATGGCCAAGGAGATGTTTGATGCTGCTGTAGGAATAGTAAGCATGTAATGGAAGGTCTTCTTCCTCATATCATGGGTATACACTGTCTCTACCAAATCTCCATTGGATATAGCCACCATAGCAGCATCTACTGTAAATTCTAATTTCCATGTACATAATTCAGAGTATGAATCAACACACGGGAACCAAAATCTAGAACAAAGATTGACAGTATAGAAAATATATTGAAAGTGTATCCTACATTGTTGTCTCCACATGTAAGTTATTTTACCATTTCTAAAAATGTATAAAAAGATATTTTATTTCACTGATGAAGTTTTTACTCTGTGTTTTCAAAGAATCTGATTTAAAAAAAAAAAAACTTCCAAAAATAATTTGGCAATATTTAAAAAATATATTGTGTGGCAACTCCAGTTCAAATGATAAACAGTTAAGCAATTCCTACTTTCCAATTTTTAAGTTAAAAATAATTTTAACTTGTATAATCAGTTATTTTTTATGTAGCATTCATTTGCAGAAATTAAAAAGTTTATAATTAAGTTTTATGAAACATAATTAATATTCAGAATCTAGTCTATAGGTATGGAAGTTGCTTTTTGATATTATGTGATATACTGCATAATTTCACACTGAGTACTAATAAAACAAGATACAAAATTTATTTGACTGTCAATTTAGGTCAGGTCTTATTATGGTGTCAGGGTTGGTACTTGGTAATGAAACATAAATGGGCTTAGAGAAGTTAATAATCTAAGGAGAGTAAACTTACTATAAAACATTCCAGTAACGTGTAGCAAATTACAGAGTATATGAATGTATGAACTACAATTACACACAAAGATGTAGGTAAATTTCACTATCAATTTTGAACAAAAACAGCCAAATATAAAGAGCATAATACATATGACTCCATTTATATCAAATTCAAAAACAACTAAATTGGCATTTTAGAAAATAATATAGTTGGAAAACAGAATGCTCTGTGGAAACAATGAATGGAGGCAAGCACAAGGGGTGTCTGGGATGCTGGTAATGTTTTTCATCTTAATTTGAGATATGGATTTAATGGGTTCATTCACTTGTGAAAATTTATTGAGCTTTACACTTAAAATTTCTGTAATTTTCTGCATTTTTTTAAACTTCCATATAAAGTTAAAGAATCAAGTAAGATAATTATTTTAGAACAACAGACTTGCAAAAGAAAGAGGAAAAGGAAAGACACATGACTGAGGAGGAATAACTAGGAAGAGGTATATGTTTGGGGAAATCAAATTCATACTTCCCATTTTACATTAAATGAATATATTACATGCACATTCATGATAAAATAAATTGAAAAATAAAATTAACTGAAATATATAAGAATTTATAATCTACCTTGTGGAATTTTGATACCCACAAGAGAAGACGTGAGCACCTCTCTCTGCCATACTCCCCTCTACACTGGGTACCACAAAATGAAGACCTCCTTTTGGCTGATCCAAAGAAAAATTAATGTGTATCTTCAGAACCTTTAACTCTGCAACAAATAAATACACACATCTGTTGATATATAAATAACAGTGATCTATATAAAGAGTTATACTGAATATAAAATGGGAGTCAAAGCCTGAATTTTATATTAAAAACCATACTCTGTACCTTAGTTAGGCCTATTATTCTCTCTCCACTTATATTAACCCAAGAGCCTACCTCTACCAGTGCTCCTACTCCAATCAGTTTAATTGATGCTTACTGCTTTTCACAAAATACTGCTGCTCTGGTTATATCACATCCTCCTCTCAACATTTCTAACAACATATAATGCCCAAAGAAAAAAGTTCAAAATTCCCACAATGCACATGCAGGCCTTTCCAATCCAATCCCGAATTTTCTTTTCAAATTTTTTCTTCTTTTAAATTTCCCTAAAGATTGTTCACTGTAGTTGATTTTGGAGAGTACAGAAGAAAGATGTATACGAACAGGACTACCCGAGAATTTGCATTTTCTTTTAAGCTTTTCATTATGTTTGATAAACATGTATTGCTTTCATTAATATTTTTTTAAAATTTTACTTCAATTTATCTCCAAATATTACAATAATTTCAACAATGATAAACTTTAATGGCTGGTCCCTATACTGTATAACCTCCCTGAATTCTCCCACCCCCAGTCATATAGAAAGCAAAAACAAAAAGTCTTTTTTATCTCAGTTAATTTTTTTAAGGCTAAATGAAGGCAGGCAAAAGCTTTTTATAATAATTATAATGGCTGAAAATGTAAGATTTAGAAAGAATATGCTCTAAAGTATATAGAGTAAGTACCAGGAATCCTATGTTCCAGTTTTGACTTCACCAGTAATTAGCTAAATGAAATTCAGTAGGCCACTTACTCTCAGTAGACTTCAGATTATTATTCTATAAAATGAAGAAGCTGAATCAGATTATTTTTCAGGATCTATCCTACTATAAGATGCTATAATTCTAAAATGATTTAATATGGCATAGGCTCTCAAATCTTGACAATTTGTCCTGTCCATCTTTTTTTAAAGTAAAAATTTTAAATTTAAAAAACAACAGTGATAGTGGCATGCCTATAACTCCTGATACTAAAATAGCAGAAAGACGACAAAGTTCAAGGCTAGCCCGGACAACTACTCGGCAAGACCCGGTCTCAAAATAAAAAAAATTTATAAAAGGGCTACAGATGAAGTTTAGTAGTTGAGTGCCCCTGGGTTAAATCCCCAGTATCACAAAAAAGACAGACAAAGTTTTCAACTCCTCTTCTTCCTCCTATATATTTAAACTGATTTATTTACAATTTAGATATCATTAATTTTCAAATCTCTGAATTTTACATGAATTTAATGTAGTAAATATATTCTTGGTACTTTACCATCAACGTGCTTCCATAGCTCTGATGGAACCTTAATGCAAAGTTCTCCATTTCCTGCATCAGGATCCACGGCACTAACTGCAGCTGCATATGCATTGGAAAAATAATTGAGATTCCTCCTGGAGAAAGAGGGGAGAAAAAATGATTTGTAATAACATTAAGTTACATATTTCACCAAGATTCTTCTTAGATCTCATGTGACACCAATTGTTTTTAAGCATAATGTAATTCATAAGAATTAAGATTCTTACATAGCTCCTAAGAATACTTTTTATCCAAGTTAACTATTGCTCTACTCACCATGTTAGAAACTATTAAACTACAAAGATAATGGCATATATATATTTCGCTCACTGTTACATGACTATTCTCATGAAACTGACACACTGACTGATGTGCCGAGAAGGCTCTTGAATGACTATTATTATGATCATCACATTCTTCATTAATTTTGGAATGTCAAAGTCACTATACTTTTCTACATTCTGAAAGTAAACAGACTACTCAATATATTAAAAATATTTTTCTATTATGATAACTATGTAAAATAAAAGCTGTAAAACTTCAGAGGCAACCTAAAGACAGGAACTGTGGGTTTTCTTTGTTTTTTCTGGTGCTGGGGATTGAACTCAGGGCCTTGAACATGGTAAGCACATTTTCTACCACTGAACTACATTCCTTGCCAATAACTGTGTTTTAACATATCATCTATTTCTTTCATTATTATCATACAATAAAAATGACCTTTTTCTTTCCTTTTGGTATACAGTTCTATAAATTTTAACACATGTAGATATAAGTAACCACCACCATAATCATGATAAAAAACATTGCCATCACCCTAAAAGAGTGCTACCCCTTGTGTCAAATAAATGGAATCATACAGAATGTGACCTTTTGAAACTGGCTTGTGCTATTCAGTATGTCTTCGAAATCGAGCCAAGTTGTTAGACATATCAATATTGTGTTCCTTTTAACCAATAATAGCATTACATTGCCTGACTCTACCACAGTTAATTTATCCTTTCACCAGCTCAAGTATACTTAGGCAATTTTCAGCTTTTGGCTGTCACAAATAGAGTTGCTATGAACATTTGTATTTAGGTTTTTGTATCAATATAAGTTTCATTTCTATAGTGTAAATAAAATACTTGTGAGTGACACTGCTGAGGCATATGGTAAACATGTTTAACTTTCTAAGAATCTGCCAAACTGTGTTCCAGAAAAGTTGTACTATTGATATCCTTACCAGCAATATATGAAAGTACTAGTCCAAATCCTCACTAACATTTAGCATACCATCTCATTTTAAAACTATTTTATCTACATATTACAATGACTTTTCAATAAAATTTTAAAAACATGAAATTTGAGAGATATAGCGACAGAACTTTTATCCCATTATCCCCAGTTATCTGAGAAATTCAAAAATAAAAATATGAAGGGCCAAGGGTGTAGCTCAGTATTAGAGTGAGCTTAGCATGCATTAGACCTTGGGTTAAAAAAAATAAAAGAAAATAACCTTTAGTCAAAAAGTAATCCAGATTTAAACATTACACATTAGAGTGCTTAATTGTTCTTTATTAATGGGTAATTATTTTTACTTAATCTCATTTCCTGAGAAAATGTAAACTGGTCCAAATAAAATGGGTAAGTTATCATAAATGTACTCTATTGGGAAGCCAGTCATGAGGAACAATCTTCTGATAGTTTGGTTTTAGTATAGAAATGAAATGTCTTCTTTCATAACTCATGAACTCAGAAATTACTAGAGCAAGATTATAGGCTTTTGAATTTTCAGAAAAATTCTGTGATTTTTGCCCTATGACTACCACCAACTCCAACTCCCAGCTCTCCTCATGGAAACATAGCTTAAAAAGGAACAATGCTATAAAGGAATACTAAAAAACTAGTAAATTAAAGGAATCAAAAGAATTCTAAGAACCTATTACAGGTTAAGGATTCCTAATTCAAAAATCTAAGATCCAAAATGTGAAATATTTTGACCATCAGGGATGGTCAACCAGTAAAGTCTATCTATGTAAATACCCCCAAAACTGAAAAACTCCAAAATCTGAAACATTTCTGATCCTAAGTATTTCAGGTAAGGGATAACCAATTCTTATTTATTAAACCATATTAAATTAAAATGATAATCCTTTGTCGAATAAAGAACATTTGTTTTTTAAAACTATAGGTGCAGATTTTTGCAACAGATATCAGCCATACTGGCTACCCATCCACAAAAACAACAACAACAAAAAAAAAAACAACCAAAGACCCACAGCTCCTCTGGAAGCAAACTATATCTATATCTATTTTATAACACATAAGATTCAAATTTTAAAAATGTATTTGGAAAAATTTCCAAGTGCTAAAATTATTTTACTGGAAAAAAATTAACCAAAATAAGGGGGGGGGGGGTAGAAATGTTACATAACCAATATGGTTTTTAATTCTAAAAGGCAATTTAACAAGTCAATTAACATACAGTTGAATAAGCAGACATGTCTTTTCATCTCTTATCTGAAATTTTCCTTCCTGCATATCCTTCTACAGTTCAAAGATGCTAAATCTGAGAGCACATTCTATCAAAACTGGGAGGAGCTGGTGCCTCAACTTTAAAACAAATAAGAAAAAAATGTGATAAAATAGTACATTACTTGTTTTGAGTATTAAGACATTTAGGGCTGGGGTTGTGGCTCAATGGGAGAGCACTTGCCTAGCATGTGTGAGGCACTGGGTTCAATTCTCAGCACCACATACAAATATATGAATAAAATAAAGATCCATCAATGTCTAAAAAAATTTTAAAAAAAGGACATTTAAATGTATTAAGATCAAATTTTACCATGGAATTTTAAGTTTTATTTTTTAATTTCAAAACCACTACAAGTTAATTCTCATTTTAGTTTTATTGGAAACTTTATAGGTACATTAAAGAAAAGTTATTTTAGAAACAAGAAAGATAACCGTAGTGTCTGGGAACATGCTAAAATGTTAACTAGCTGTATTTCCCAAAGTTTCCTTTAAAAATATAAATGTGATCCATGAGAGATATTTTTTATATTCAGTTGCCAAGAAAAGTAATATTTCTTCTGAATAATCGGTGTGTTTCTGTCTTGTGTCTTCTGAGTCTCATAAACAATATGTTTCCCTCTTTGTTATGACAACTAGAAATGAGAACCAAACCTGCAGTTTTCTTCTAAGACTCTTGTGGTAACTTAACAATGTGTATCTACCAACATCCGTTTGTTTATCTTTTATGCCAATTTCATCATCTACCTTTTACAACTTTTATCTAATAAAACTCTAAAACCAATTCCAAATTCTTTTTAAAACAAGTAATGGGATAATAAAATCAGAAAAAAAAAATCATCTCTCTTTAAAGAGTAGTAAAGATTTTGAAGTTAGGCAAAAAAGCAGGGGATGCTAGTTAAACATTTACTAATGACCATGGCCAATAAAATTCTGCTTCTAGCTGGAAGGAAAATTTAAACTATATCTTTCCTAATTTCCTAACATAATCTTTGAAAAGCTTCTCCTTTATCATTTCCTTTATTTTTAATACTAAAAGTGATAAGGTGCCAGGTGCAGTGGCACATGCCTGTAATCCCTGCAACAGGAGGATCACAAGTTGGAGGCCAGCCTCAGCAACTTAGCAAGCCTGTTTCAAGATAAAAAATAAAAAGAGTAGGGAATGTAGCTCAGTGATTTAAGCAGCCCTGGGTTCAATTCCCAACACCAAAACAAAACAAAGGGATAAGCCATCATCAATATCACTAGAGAAAAATTTTAGGAGGTATCATCAAAGTAAGTAGCAAAGTTTGCTTCCTTAATGTAACAGGATATCCACTGTTCCTGTCATTGCACTATAACAGATTATTTGCTATGAGTCCTGAGCATCAGAAATAAATCATTGGTAAAGCATATGTGCAAATCATGTTTTGTATCTGGCTTCCTACCCTATCATCAAAAGCAGGGTTCTAGGCTAAATATGATAGATATGTTTTTCCTCTAGCAAAACAATTAGTCCCCTATAAGCTCATTTTAAAGATGTCCTTTCCATTCATTAGAGGTAAACACTTAGTACTCTAAAGGCAGATTTCTTTTCTCCTGAAGAAAAGGGGATAGAGAAAATCTTGTAATGAGCCTTTTTATGTAAGTTTTAAGGGCAACTGTTAAAAACAATGTAATTTTAAGAACTCACCTATGTGAGATGGGAAGTTATAGGAGTAACTCAAGAGTCCCTGGACTTTTCAACACCATTTTCACGTCTCCTCTCTGAGTTTGAAAGATTCTGAAGCAATGATTACTGAGATCTTAAATATGTCACAAGTTAAGTTTCCCTTCTCAACAGTACCCAAACCCTTATGGCAGTGTTTCTCAAGCAACAGCCTACAGCAGAATCACCTAGAAAGCCTATTAGAACACAAATTGTAAGATGCTGACCACAGTCTCTAGTAGGTCTGGGTTAATGCTTGGGAGTTCACAGTTCTAACAAGTTCCTAGGTGATGCTCATGTTGCTCAATTGGGAACACAATTTAAGAATTGATTGATGCCTTAAGGCAAAAATTATATATCCTAGCCATTCAGGAGGTTGAGGCAGGAGAATTACCAGTCTAAGATCAGCCAATTCTAAATAAAAAATAAAAGAGAGCCAAGGATATAGCTCAGTGGTAGAGCAGCCTGGGTTCAAACACTAGTACCAGAAAGAAAAAAATAAAAATAAAAAGATTACACACACTACACTGGTTAATTTTTTTAAAATATCATATTGATTAAGAGTATATAATGACTTTTGGTATCTACCCCCCAAATACCAAGAATCACAGAAATGATATGACACAATGCTACTGAAGCTTTGAAAAAACAAGTACTCTCAAATGTATTTATAATAGTAATAGACATGTTTTCAGGGGAGCAATACTGGGTTTGAACCCAGGTATTCTCTACTACTGAGCTACATCCACAGCCCTTTTTCTTTTTTGAGAACAGATCCCTCCAGAGCAGCTAAAATTACAGGTATACACCACTGTCTCCAGCCTACACGTAATATTTTCATGATATTTTAAAATAGACAAAATATTCTATAGACTATTTTAAGTTAGTCTTTGACCTAAGAATTATGGTGACCACCCAACACACTGAAAATCACTTTTATTTTTTATTAAGTAAATAGTTAAAAATAATTTAAAACAGGAAAATGGCTAATAAGATTTAATTAAGTTCTTTGGTAAGAAGAAAGGAAACTTGGTACCATACAATACTGAGAACAAAACCACCTGAAATACATGTGCAAAGTGGGAAAAAAAAATCCAGAATCTAATAATAATCTGAAAAAAAATAAGTAATCCAATCATTAAACACAACACCAAAAAAATTGACAGAAATGTTGACTTTTAAAGTGTACAACTTACTGTTTTGATTCATTGTGACAAACTTCTAAGGTTGGATCATTATAAATAAAAGCAGCCTCTAAATCATTGATCCTTACTCGATAGATTCTACACTGTTTGCTGTTCAACTTTATTCTATTCAAGTTTGCAACTGTAGGAAATATAGTCAGTTCCACAAAGCCCTAAAAGATAAAGAATAACAGCTTTATTATAAAGATTGGTATGTTTTAGAACATATTCCTTTGACTTCTACTACTTAGAAACATACTATCCTCCAGAAATAACATCCTAAATAGCTACATACACACAAATTCTCTACAAATATCTTAATTTTAACATGATTGTCCTAGTGAATGAATGGGGTCTGAGTTATGTATACTATACCATCTTATCATTCATATGAACTATCAGTGAAAATTAAGTTAATACAAGTATTCAATACACTCAAATACAACAATTTTTAGATAGACTGCAACCCAAACAGAGAATAAGAAGAAGAAAATAAAAGAGCAGAAAGAATCAAACAGGTTGGTAAGTGAAAGAACATGGGGAGGCAAAAAAAAAGGCGGGGAATAAAACCCTGTCTTACTGAAGCCAACAAGTGTGAGTCCCGGCTTATAGGAGGTAAATCAGGACATGTGAAATAGCAAGTGCTAAAAGAAAATCTCAGGCATGTAGGTATTTCAAAATGCAGAAGAGTTTCCTACCAAGTAGTCCATAGTTTTACCATGTTTGCTGTGTGGTATGCAATCTATCTGAAGCATATACCTAAGAGATGACAGACAGATAAATAAATTGACCACTCACCATTTGTTTATTTGTTCAATCAAATGGGAAAGACAGACAGATGAAACGTGGAGCACATCACCAGTGATTTTAGTATCACTATTTGAAAACTAATATACTCAAACATGAAATATGAGAGGGCATAATATAGTAACATTTTAAGGGCTGCAAAGTGAGCAGGAAAACTTAAGAGGATATAATGGGGATATCTACAATGAAACTCAAGCAGTCACCAAGGAGAACTAGATTACAATGGCTTCTACTCTATGACAGATATTATACTGTATACTTTCATTATGTATTCTCTATTCCTAATACCAACTCTGAGAGATAAGTGCTACTTTATGCTTTTTACAGAGAGGCTCTAAGAGCTAAGTGCTATTGAAAAGTGCAAAAAACAAATTAACTTTTTACAAATAAATGAATAAAATTTAAAAAAATTTATCAAGTGGAGAACTCACAGATACATTTAAATGATCCCAATAGATTCCCACTATTCCATAATGCCTCTGGGCACAAAGGCTTTAAATATTTTATTTATTTGTTTGTTTGTAGTTATAGATGGACCTCACACATGCTAGGCAAGCACTCTGCCACTGAGCCACAACCCCAGTCCCTTAAATATGTTTTGAAACAACCTTAAGCCCAATTGTTCAAAAGCCTGGAATTATACAGACCCTCTGCCCCCTATTCCCAAAGAGAATCACACACTCTTAAATTAGACCATCTATACAGATCCATGTAGAAGCAACATAGAAAATAGGTCAAAGGCAAAAATATTGTTAATGAAGGTTTTATGTTTAAAAGTGTAAGCCATGAGCAATTGTAGCTGGAAGACCAATATTTTCTTAAATCAGTAATTCAGTCATCCATTGACCACTCCAAATAAATGAGTTTCAATTATTTGAAAACCAGCAAGTAGTAACAACACAACAATGTCAAAAGTGAATTGGAAGTGTCATCAATATGTACTTGAGCAAGGGTGGGTAAGAACATGATTTGGCTTCCTACAGTAAGGTAAATAATAACAAAAAAGTGGACAGAGAATATTTCAGGAAGACAGGGAAAGCATGCCCTGATACCACCTAACCTCTACAAGCCTCCTGTCATCATTGGCCACTGGTATAAACGCAAGTTCCCCAAGTATTCTAACCTCATACTTTTATTTCATTCTTGCTGCTTAACCTCTTCTGACCATTTTATACCTTAACCATACTGTGTTTTCTATCTTTTCAAAAATCTTCTTTTCACTTTCTATCCTTAAATGAAATATCTCCTGACTCCCCATTGACAATAAACTACTTATTCTCTCACTCACTATAAATTAAGATTGGGGAAAAATACAAATTCTCACTGTTACTTCTAGGCCATTTATAGGATTTTATACAATACACACTACAAGAGCCAGGAGAATGGTGTTATAGTTAAATGAATGTGTTATGGGGGTAAACTCCTATATTCAAGTATTAGCTCCACCATTTAGTAATTTTATGCTCTTGGAATACTCTATTTTTCTGTGCCTCATTTTCCTCATCCGTGAAACAAAAATAATGATATTAACTACCTTGTACTGATATTATGACAACTGAACAATTTACTACATGAAACCTACTTAAAATAGCTAAGGGACATTGGTATGGCTCAGGGGCAGAGTGCTTGCCTAGCATATGTGAGGCCCTGGGTTCTATCCCTAGCATCAGGAAAAAAAAAAAAAAAAATTGTGGTTGGCATTTAGTATTTGCTTAACACCTAAATGTTTATATTCTTTTTTTTCCTACTCTTGTTTTTTGTGATCATACTAATACAGGCATACCATCCTCCACAATTGATTAAATCCCCCTACATTCACTGAACACTCCTTCCTAACATATCTTTGCTATTTTTTAAGTGACTTCAATATAGGTTTATCTGATCCTTCCAATAACACCACTTTAAAGTTCCTTAACCCCAGATCCTACAATTTTCATTTCCATTCCTGGACAAAAATCAAAATCACAATCTGAGTCCAGCACAGTGTAATCCCAGTGCATGGCCTGGGAGACCGAGGCAGAAGGATCACAAATTCAAAGCCAGCCTTAGCAACTCAGTGAGACCCTAAGCAACTCAGTGAGACCCTGCCTCTAAATAAAATAGCAAAAAAGGGCTGGGGATGTGACTCTGTGGTTAAGTATCTGAGTTCAATCCCCGGGGTAAGGGGAAAAAAAAAAAAAGGAATCACAATCTGAAAGGTACCTCATCACAGCTCCATCCTGACATCATATTCTTGACTATCCAGGACAAGACACCTATTCCTGATGATTACTTCTCTCCCAGTCCTTCTGTTCGATCACCTACATGTTTAAGAGTTTCTCACCCCAATCCATCCTAGTACTTCTGGGGTTTTCTTCACTGCTCCCCCTGAATCCTTAACTTCAATCATTTTTCTGCCAACTACCAATTCTACTCTGCTGCTGTGTTCCTCCTCCTTTTCTCCCTAAAATGATCCTTCTACTAGTCCTCTGGAGTTCATCTCCAAATTATTACCTGAAATATTACTCTGCTTATTATCTTTGCCTCAAATTACAATCTTTCCTCTCTGTAGAAATTCTCCCTGTGCCCATGAACACTTGAAAACTCACAAACAAAGACGGGCATGGTGGTACATGCCTGTAATCCCAGCAATTTAGAAAGGTGAGGCAGGAGGATCCCAAGTTAAAAGCCAGCCTCAGCAACTTAGGGAGGCCCTAGGCAACTTAGTGAGACCCTATCTCAAATAAAAAACAAAAAGGAATGGGATGTGGCTCAACTGTAAAGTGCCTCTGGGTTCAAACCCTGGCATCAAAAACAAACACAAAAAAACACCTCACAGAAAAGTAGGCACATAATATACCATAGAAACAGACAGGGTAAAGAGGGAGGTTTTTGTTGTCATTTTGGTTTGGTTTTTTTGAGACAGAGTCTTGCCATGTTGCCCAGGCTCGTTTCAACCTCCCAGGTTCAAATAATCCTCCTTCCTCAGACTCAGTACTAGGATTACAGGTATATGCCACTGCACCCAGCTTAAAAAGAGTTTTTGATTCACAGGGAATCTAAGGCCAATGATTACTGGGTCTAGAAGAATGAAAACTAAAGGTAGTTTATGATGTTTCTCAATAATATAAAAAGTATAGGTCTAATAGGCAAAAACTTGACTCAAGGTGCAAAAGGAGGAATTTATGACCTCTTATTCAGTTCCTAGACCTCAGCCAGTTCACAGTTCCAGAAGAGAGTCCTTTGAGTGAGTTTGATGAGAGGTCACACAGCCTCTAGAGTTTATCTTCTAAGACTACCCCAGAATGGCCTGTAGCCGAATTGCCAGGTACTGATTTGTTCTGGAGAAAAGAAAATTTCCAAATCTTCCTTGAGTTATTATATCTTGGTTCTGATCTGACGTGAATACTAAAGTCCTGAAACATTACGATAGTCAGACTAAGTTTTTAGAGGTCAAATAATAAGTGGTGTTACAGACAAAGTCAATCACACAGAAAGACTTCTCCAATCCTATAACATATAGTATATATTTTATTTAGTAGTTGGCAAATATCCTTATTGGATACCTATAAAATGGAGTAAGGGCTATTATGGTAAGGGTAAGTAGAGACCACTGGACAGACTATTTCTTTACTACAATATAGTAAACCAAAGCAACTAGACAACCCTGGGGAATTGCAGATTAGTGCCAAAAAAGATTGGAAAAATGCTGATACCAAAAGTTCCTCTCTGCCAGGATGCAGGTAAGCAGAAGCTTCATTGATATATTAATATTTTATTCTTCTACTTTCCTTTAGGAAAGTTACCTAACCTCTATTCTTTCAGCTACCTCACTTATAGTTACGATTAAAATATTATCTACTTCATGAGATTCTGGTGAAGATTCAATTAGTTAATACACACACAATTTAGAAAAAATTTCTACCATACATGTTCACTGTAATTCAATCAACCTTGTCAACTCCTTCTATTCCATTCTCATAAATGCTATCATTCTTGAGGGTGTCACCATTTCCCCACCAGACTACTATAGTAACCTGTTATACAGACTCCAAATTTTCATACCTTTCCTACACAATTCATACAAGATTATACACCTAAAGTATTCTACCACAAGATACAAAGTAAATAATAATGTGTGAGGAACACTGCAAAAGAAACACCACAAATGGCCAGGAGTGGTGGTGCAGGCCTGTAACCCCAGAGGCTGGAGAGGATGAGGAAGGAGGATAACTGTTCAAAGAGTTCAAAGCCCACTTCAGCAACCACAAGGCATTAAGCAACTCCATGAGATCTTCTCTCTAAATAACAAAAAATAGGGCTGTGGATGTGGCTTAGTGGTCAACTGCCCTGAGTTCAACCCCCAGTACCCATCCTCCCCCCAAAAAAATAAATACCACAAAAGAATAGATGAACTTAATGAAATGTTTAGAATCTTTACAAATCTTGATCATATCTCAAATATTATATTTGAAACTTCACTAAAAAGCAATACCACCTAAACTAGGTCAGCCAAGGATCAGAAAACAAAAGAAGTGGCATATTAGAAGCTAACTAAAGTGAGTCCACTCATCTTAATTTTTTCACAGAAGAGGTCTCACAATGGGCTTACTGTTATTTCATGCACAACTCTAAAAAGCTTGGTTATACAAGCTTTCATATTCCACAATAAAGAAATAAATTGTAATCAGGAAAAAGAAAAGAGGAGAAGGATTGAGAAATGTACAGAAGGACCTCAGAATCAAACAGATCTGAATTCTAATTCTTAGCTAGTCTTAAAACATCATTATCTGAAAGAATATACAGTGTTCAAGTACTGTGAAAGGTACACTTATTATTCATTATAATTTTTAGAAAAAACTTACCACAACAGATTTCCTCTGGAAATTTATGTTGTTGATGCAGACAACTTGATGGGTTGTATATTAAAAAATACAAAAGCATAAAATAATTTCTATTATTACATGAAAGCAAACTCCATCCAAGTATTAATATATGTTCTAAGCATGCCTGTGCCTTTGTGTGTGTATGAAAATCATATAATCCACATAAATTCAAAAATTACACGTTAATCTTTCATTTAAAAACCTACAAACTGGAATGATTTGCTTGTTTTAAATCTAGCAACAGCCACAAAAACCAAATTTCTTTAGACAGAAATAATTTAGTACTTTAAGAAAAAGATTTATTAAATCTGCATGGTGAACTATATCTGCTAATTGACACTGCCATTCATAATGATCACCCTACAAAGACCACTTCCATCACAGCGAGAGGACTCTCCTTTTCCACCGTTTCCAAGGCCCACCAAGTCGGTTTCAAACAATTACAAACGAAATAATGAGAAAAAAAGGGGGAGGAATGAAAAGATACTTATAATTTATATGGCCTTGGGCTTTCAAAGCCCTTGTCTCCTTTCTTCCTGTTCATTCTGAAGGGCTCCGCACCGGTCGATGGCATGCAGCGGCCCGCAGGGCTGGGGTTCCCGGCTTCCCCGGGGGCTACGGGGCATTACCGGTCTCGGGAGCCTAGCCCCTGCCTCGACTGTCACGCCCCGCGTCCGGGACACCCTGGGCACCCAGACCGGGTGCACCGCCAATAGACTAGGCTCCTTTCAGCCTCCTGCTCCCAGCTTCTGTCACACGGACGCTCCGCTCGGCAACCGCTCAAAGGGAGCGCCAGCCGACATGCTGCCGGTTGCCTTTAACCTCTGGCGTCAGCGGAAGTGGGACGCCTCCGGGGGCGGACCCGGAAGTCTCCCGTCAGTGGGCGGTGCTTGCGCGACAACGCGGGAATTTTCTCATTTCCTTGCGATTGTTAAAACTTAGAAGAATGGAGAAAATAATGGATGAGAGGAGAAGCGCAGTTAGGGAAGAGACATTAAAGTTCTTTTATTTTTTTTTGTACTGAGGATTGAACCCAGAGGTGTGCAACCACTGAGCCACATCCCCGACCTTTTTTATATTTCTTTCTCTTTTTTTTTTGGTACCGGGGATATAACTCAAGGGCACTCGACGAGTGACCCACATCCCCAGCCCTATTTTGCATTTTATTTAAAGATAGGGTCTTGCTGAGTTGCTAAGTGCCTCCCTGAGTTGCTGAGGGCGAGTTTGAACTCGCAGTCCTCCTGCCTCAGCCTCCCCACCGGCTGGGGTTACAGGCATGCGCCACCCCTCCGGGCACGCAGGTTGTGAAGTGCGGGGGAACAAGGTTTGCAAAGAGCCTAGTATAAACAGGGTAGGGGCCAATAATGGGGGCGCTTCTCAAAACCAGGAGGAGGGATGTGCTTCTGGTTTGCTGTATGGAGACACCACAAACTCAACTCATTTGTACCCACTGATTTAAACTGTAGGTAATGTCCCTATACTACAGGTAGCCTGACAAACCTGGAGTCCTTAGTAGGCACTGCTGACTCAATATATATGCTGCGTGTGCCTTTATGGGTGTATAAAAATCATATAATCCACATAAATGCAGAAAAATGTATTGAAAAAGATTTTTCATATTCTTATTGGTGAATTTTAGCTGTGCAAAATGGTGGGGTTTTTTTTTTACATGCTCTTACATAAACACAAATATAAATTAACCAATACCATTACCCAGTATTTCGTCTTTCCCTCCTCTTCCCCTCCCCCAGTCTCTTTATTCTACTGAACGCCCTTTGATCTGCATATTTCCCCAATCTTGCTTTTCCTTTTTCCTCTCTAGCTTTCACATAGGAGAGGAAACATACAAGCCTTGACCTTGTGAGTTTGACTTATTTCTGTTACCATAATGGTCTCTAGTTCCACCCACTTTCCTGCAAATGACTTCATTTTTCTTTATGGATGAACAAAACTCCATTGTGTGTATATGTCACATTTTCTCTATTCATTCATCCATAATTTGGCTATTGTGAATTATGCTGCTATAAACATGAGTACACATGTATCATGGAGTATGATGACTCTAATTCTTTAGGATAAATACCAAAGAGTGATAGAGCTGGATCATATGGTGATTCCATTCCTAACCCTTTGAGAAACTTCCAGACTGATTTCCATAGTGCATGTACTGATTTACATCCCAACAATAGTGCAAAAAGTGTTCATGTTCTCCACATCCTCTCCAGCCAGCTTTTATTTGTATTCTTGATGACTGCCATTCTGAGTGGTGTGAGGTGAAATATCAGTACAGCTTTAATTTGCATTTCCCTAATTGCTAGTGATGTTGGACATTAAGATCATTTGCTCATTTATTAGTTTATTTGGCGTTTTTGTTGTTGTTGTTTTGAGTTCTTTATATATTCTGGACCTTAAATCTGTCAGAAGAGTAGCTAGAGAAGATATCCCCATTCTGTAGATTCTCTTTACATTCTTAATTGGTTTTGTTGCTATGCAGTTTTTTTTTTTTTTGGTCCGGGGTGGGGATTTGCTGGAGAGCTAACCAGTGGCACTTAACCGCTAAGCCACTTCCCCAACCTAAGTCACTGGGATTACAGGTGAGGTGTATGCCATTGCACCCAGCGTGCAGAAGCTTTTTGATTTGATATTGTCTCATTAACTCTTGTCATTCTTTCCTGAGCTTTAGGGTCCTATTAGTGGTTGCCTGTGTCTATATATTGGAGTGTTGACCCTATGTTTTCTTCTAGGAATTGCATAATGTCTAGCTTAATTCCTAGGTCTTTGATCCATTTTAAGTTAATTTTTGTGCAGGGTGAGAGATAAGAGTCTAGCCTCTTCTAATATGGAAAACCAGTTGTCCCAGTACTATTTGTTTAAAAGGCTGTCTCTCTCCAGTTTATGTTTCTGGCACCTTTGTCAAAGATCAGATGACTGTATGTGGGTTTGTCTTTGTGTCTTCTATTCTGTACCACTGGTCTATGTGTCTTTCTTTATGTCAGTACAATGCAGTTTTTGTTACTATATTTCTGTAGCATACTTTGAAGTCAGGTATTATGATGCCTCCAGCATTGCTTTATTGGTTTAGAACTGCTTTGGCTATTCTGGGTCAAAAGACAAGCCTTGACCTTGTGAGTCTGACTTATTTCTGTTACCATAATGGTCTCTAGTTCCACCTACTTCCATTCTTCCAAATGAAATTTAGGACAGTTTTTTTTCTAATTCTGTGAAGAATATCATTGGTATTTTGATGGGAATTGCATTGACTCTGTACATTGAGTTTTGGTAGTATAGCAAATTTAACAGTATTAATTCTGCCTATCCAAGAACATCAGAGGTTTTCCATCTTCTTATGAAAAAAACATATTTTGAAGCCATCATGTTGCATTTCACATGCATGAGAAAAAAACTGGTAAACTTCAGTAACAGTTAAATCTTGTAATTATGTATTAACACTTTTCGAACCTTGGACCAGATTTAACTTGGCCTATCCTTTCCTTCTGTCCTACTGGAAAGCTTCTTAACTAAAATAAAATTTGGTCTAAACAAAAACAAATTTTATCAAGCATTCCAATTCCAACTAGAAATTACCAGTAGTTTTCTAATGAGTTTTATTTGTGCCAGGATTATAAACCGATCTATAAGATTGAGGATGAAACCCATTTTGTTTAAAGTGCATGTATATACCAGCTAAGTGAACAGGGAAGCAATTACCAAGCCAATTTCACAAATCTTAACAATATACTTGATAGCACCTAGTGACATCCTGTTTCTGTGAAAGGTTGAAAGTAGAGAAGAACTCAATTGAGAAATAGCATGTAAATGACTAGATCTCTTCTAGACACTTATTTTCTTATCTAGAAAACTTTTAAAAAATGAGAACATCAAATCCTAATTAAAGGTGTGAAATTTATATACAAAAGCAATATCCTTTCTATAAATAGAACCATGTAGACATCAGAGACTACAGAACTACTTTTCTATTAAATATAGGAAATAATACTTTCTTGTGCCCTTGTTTACACTGAGTACATACAACAAATGTAATCTGAAGAACTGAAATATCCTGTTACACTTAAAAAGTAAGTAGTAATAGTTTCAAAACATTAAGATGAGAACAAAAAATGCATTCAAGGAGTAGGTTTTTAAAAGCCAAAATAAAAATACGTAAAATAATCTTTTTCTTATATCTAGCAACTTTATAAAGCAATTCAGTTCCAAAGAAAAAACTCTTGTTCAAATTTTAAGTAATGGGTCTTCTTGAATTATAAACTTTAATTCCATTTTGCATCGAAGAACGTGAGTATTTAGTGAGTAATGCACCTATGGTTTGCTTCTCTCCACACAAATCTCTGTGGGAAGGAAAAAATAAATGAATAACATGAAAATCTTAGCAAGCATAATATAAAGTACTAATTATTTTATCTTTCTTCCCCTTAATCCATCTTTCAAGTAGGCATAAGGGTATGTTTTGTGGGGAGAAACAGGGTGGGGATTGGTTAAGTCTTAACTGAATGGGTACATTACATTATTATTTTATTGAATCTTCACAGTAGAAGCAAGAGTGATATATTATTTAACCCTACATTAGATAAGAGGAAGAGGCTCAAAGATGATAAACAACAGTCAAATTTTGCCACCAGGTCTTTATGACTTCAGAGTCCATGTTTTCTGTAATATCATACAATTTCTAAGGTTAGAATTCCAAGCAATGTGATACCCTGGAGTCTGGAATGAGAAAACCTAGATACTAGGCCACCTGTGTGAGCCTGTCTATGTTACCTGCCCTTTTTGAACTTGAGCTTCCTTTTCTGTACCTCAAAGAGGAAAAGATTATGTCCAGAACATAATGCAGGGAGGGAAGACATGATGAAAGGGAAAAGGCCTAGATCATAAATAACCATGAGGACATGAAAGGGAGCTGTGCCTTAATTCTAAATAAATAAGAAGCCCCTAAGGGAGTTTTAAATAATAGAAAAAAAGCATAACGTGATCTAAGTTTTAAATAATAGAAGCAACAAGTCAATGACTAAGAAAGATGGGTGGGGGTATGTGGAGGGTTCACTATATTATATTGCTGCTTTTGAATGCTTAAAGCTTTTCAAAATAAGTAGCATAAAGAAAGGAGAGGGAAAGTAAGAAAAGTAGAAGGAGAGAGCCCAGTTCAAAGATGACCATCAGGATTTACTCATACTTTGCCCCAGAAAGTGAAGGAAGGCAAGGACAAGAATGGTTTCTAGACTTTTTGCTTGAGTAATGGATGAGTGGAGGTGCTATTCACTGAGATGAAGAAGATGAAGAGTAGAGGCAGGAAGAATCAATGTTCTATTATGAAATTCCTATTAGATATCCAAATAGACATGTTAAGTAGGCAGCTAAATATAACAATCACAGAAAAGGTAAAGTATGAAGATAAAATGAAGAAGTCACTAAATTTAAATCCAAGATGAGGGCTCCAATGGAAAAGCATGCACAGAAGAGACAATAACCAAGAATAGAGTCCTAGAGCACTTCAAAATTTAAAGATGGGGAAGAAAGGGAGAAGTCAGC